ACATTTTTGACAGTTGAAAAGTTTGAATTTTCCCTGAGCAGAAGATGAACTGCTGGAGATCCTCTTTGTCTTAGCTGTTTGTTGTGTTTGTCAGAATATGGTAGGTGAGTGGACATGGCCAGAGGAAGCAGGGGCCACCAAATCACCCCCAACCAACAACAACATTCTTGGACATGTTGTCCAGCGACTGAGGAACATTGTTCTTCCACCCATCATAGAACCCTCTTCACCTTCATTTCCTCACTTTAACTTGAAGGCCTGTGTCCTGGGCAAGTTTTGCTCTGGCAAGACCACCTGCCTGACCAAGATTGCTGAAGGCATGCTATCCAAACAGCGATGCAGCCATACACACAAACACACCTAAGCACGTCTTTACTGGTATTAAATAAAAAAAACGGTGGTTGAATGAAATTTTATGTCTTATTTTGTGTGTTATTTTCTGCATTAGCCCATAGCATCTATGTCTTATCAGCTGACACACTGATTGAGAAGGCGCTGAATGCTTACCAGAAAGAAGACGAGGTTAGTTACATACAGTATAACTGCATCTTCACTAGTATCGTTTTCATATAATCTAGTCACATAATTTTGCTTAGAATTTTTCAGGAACATAAAATCTCACCAGTCTCTCCTGCTGGTGCCAGAAATATATAAACCCCAAATCACGTGGCCTTAAAAAGGTCCTCAGTGATCCTAACATTTCACTATTTGGACAAAATGCACAGGTCACAGAGCAGCAGGGAGAGAAATCCAATGAGCAGCTGTTCACAGTCTCCTCAGCACTGCAGTCTGGTGGGTTACTAAAGCCAGTACAATTCTATTCTATGCTATTTTATACTATACAATGTGTTTATTTGCTTGCAATAAAAATGCACTGCACTACAGTTGCCTTTTTAATCTGATAGGTCACTTGTAATGTTGTTTTTCAGACCTTGACACTGAAATGAAGAGTAGAGAGAGAAACATAACTGTAAGTGTTGTTTGTGTACAGTGTGTTGCATTTGTGATATCACTAATTAACCTGATTAAAATGTTCTTTCTTTACTGACACAATGATGATTTTTGGGAACATGTAATAATTTGAAATACTGAGTGATAGACTTTTTCCAGAATTGATTTGCTATTTAAAATGAAATACTTAGCCCTTCTTAAATGTGTCCCATATACAGCTGTCTCCTTGGGCCGTACACGGCGGAGCTGTAGGAAAAGAGCTGGGGGAAGGCAACACCATCTCTAATGAACTGTTAGTGGATATTATAGTAGAGGCTATCAGGTAAGCAGATAACCTTTAGTCTGTTGTATGATCTTATTTTTATGCAGTTAATTCCCAGATTCACAGAGACTTCTCAATGATATAGTGTGGACAAAATAAGCAGCCCTACAAACTCTAGAGAGTAAAGTGTATGTCTTATTAGGCAGGTTCCAGCTCATTCAGGTTGGGTCCTAGACGGGTTTCCCGTGAACATCACTCAAGCCTACCTGCTAGAGAAAGCCCTGGGTGGGTCTGTAGACGTAGAATATGGAGTCGAAAGCAGGACGAACCTTGCTGCTGACCCTAATCCACCCAAACGTCCACCACCCCCAGTTCCTGTATTGGACCTGGCTCTGCTGCTGGATATCCCTCCTGAGAGTGTGGTCAAACGTGCCTTTAGTCACACTGGTAGGGGTTATGTATCTGTTAGCACCTAAACATGATCTGTAATGTGCAATGTGTAAATTGTGTTTTTGTGTTTATGTGGTTTGCTTGCTCTTACTGTCTTGCAAAAACAGATATAGCTGTTGATACAACTTCCAATCCCACAGACAAAAGCTTGTATCTGGCACAGATTTCACACAGGTAAAAAAAAAAAATCAAACAAAACAATCAAATAGGAAGATAAACACATACATACTTCTGTGTGACTGTGTGTCTAATATTTAATCCTTCCCCCCCCCCCCCGAAGGATCACAGCTTTTCAGGACACCTGGCCAAAACTAGAGACATGGTTTGGTGGAAAGCAAAACATTTTGGTCCATATTGATGCGAATGTAGACAAGGAAGAGCTTTACAAGATGGTGCAATCTGTTTTGATCCAAAAACTGGAAGGTAACTGGCCTTTTTAGTTGTTTTTCTTTTTGTGTTCTGTTTTAGCTTTTTGTTATACTAGTACTCCACTACATCCAGAGACAGATATTATACTTTTTCCTGCACTACATATGTGCACAGACCAGGTACTGGACAATGCTCTCTCTCTTCTGTCTCTAATGCAAAGTACAAATATTACTGGTACAGTAATATTTGTTCTACAAGATTAGGCAAAATATAGGATTAGGTAAAATATAAGATTAAAATATGGTTTTTATTTTATCACACACTGATGATGAGATTCTGTTTCTACAGTACATGCTGTATAATAGATCATTTGTCTTCCAGGAAAAGAAACACAATATTTACTCAGAATATACCAATATATTCTCTCATCAGCTCTTGCCCCTCCTCCTGTTGAAGATGTGCTGGGCAGTGGGGAAGCTCTGGGCTCCTCCTCTTCAGCCACACCTCCATCTGTAGATCAACTTCCAGCTCTCACAGATGAAGTCCTTGGCCCCAGTGAGTCCTGTTCCAGCCTTAATAAGGAAAAAGCTCTAAGTGTGATGTTACTTCCCAAATCCAACCCACACACACCCAGAGGTGATTTGACCAGTAGTCTGTGGATTACCCATTGCAGTTGTTATTTTAAAGTAACCTCTGGTCACATAAGAATTTTTTCATCAAAGAGAAGATTTATAAATGACTTTTACTTTTCCAACTGATAATGACTTTGTGTTTTTTTACATATAGAATACATACACATTTTATGTTTTAAATGTCTCTAAATGATATCAGTATTTGGATATAAACTTTCTTTGTGAGGCCACGAAGTCTGAATTTCAAAAGTGGAAACCAGACAATATGGCAATAAATGTATGGTTCCTCAGTTTAATATCATTCTACTGACAAATGTTGACTGACTTTAAAGATTTAAATATCATTGCTGATATCTAATTTGGTTTTGCACTGGAATAAAAAAAGAAAACAGTTATTATCAGTTCTATATGATTTGGTCACCTAATATGATTCTGTGATTGTTAATCATTGTTTAGCATTAAATAAATATGATTATGTTTACTATTAATTCTGATCTATCAGTACTGCAATCTAGGAGGGCGTCAACTTCCTCAGTGTCCAGTGTCCCCATGAACCCACCTGAGTCTGCTTCTCCATACCCGGGGTCATCTGGCTGGGTCTATGTGGATGAATCACTTCCTTCAGTAGGATACATCTTTTAGTTGTGTTTCTTGAGTGCACTTCCAACCTCTTTCTTGTTTGAAAAATCTTGTTTTATGAGTGACATATGGCATGACATTCAGATGCACTTACTTGAGTGGTTATCTCGAAGTGGCGCATGAACATGATTTGCCCTCTGTTTTTTTCTAACTGTATTTTCTGTATTTTCGGCTGCATTACACTTTGTCTACTTACTATCCTCCTTTGATTGCTTTGTTCATCTTTTCCCCTCCTCATCTCTGTCTCTAGGAGATCTCAGAGTACCTTTGTCCCCATTGGGACACAATGTGTGATTCTTATGTGAACAACATAAAGACAGTGATGCAGCAGCTCCGTACACAAAGCATTGTTATTAACCACCATCTGTTTAACATCAGGTATGACAACTTCTTGGATCTGTCTTTTCCACATTTTTGCATTTGATCTTTATAGCTAAGAATGCATAATTGCTCCTATAATAATAGTTTCTTTGTCAGAAATGTTTGACACATCAAAGACCATATTTATGTTAAAAGAAATTTATTAAAAATGATAAATGTTATGTGATAAATAGCTCATTTATTACTCTGTAAGTATTTCTTGTGTCCTAAATCTGTAGAGAGGAATTTAAGCATTTCCTGGGGCATCCAGATTTGAAGCAGGAGTTAGTGTCTCAGTGGCAGAAGGACTTCAACAACATACCTGATGATATGAGAGAAGATGAGGATACCAAAGCAGAGCTGCATCTAAGACTGGATGTAAGAATAATTTGTAATATGATACAATGCAAATATTCTTAAATGTAAAAACCTGCTTGAAAATGACAATATAAAGAATATGGAGACATTCTGATATGTGTACAGGAGCTGCGTAAACGTTTGTGGGATATTAGTGACAAGCGTAAGGAGCAGAACAAGCAAGAGAGGACTGCTCTCATGTGTGATGGCTGGTTGGAGGACCACACTGCTATCCTCATCAACCACCACTCCACACTCATGCAGGTAGGTTTTCAGTTTTGGTGTAACTGAAAGCTGAAAAATGCTGCTGGCTGAACAAAGTTTTTTTGGGGGATTTCAATTCTGAGAAAAGCTTGAGATGGCTGTGGCTAAGGTAAGGAGAAGCACTGCACAACTAGACATCTGGACACAAGCTGAGGTCTGATCAGTCTCGGCTCAGTGGTCATCACCAAGTCAAACAGTGAAATGACAAAGAATGAAGGGTACTCATTCCCTTTATAATCACAGCATATAAAGTGTGGAAAGAAACAACATCAGTGCGGAGACAGTCTTTTGGGGTAAGAGATGAAAATCTTCTACCGCATGTGTTCACTGTCTAAAACAGACATGCACAATATGTTTCATTCTTAGTATAAGACTTCAAGTTCCTGCTATCTAAACTATTCTAAGATTCTGACCTCTAAGGCATCTCTAAATGTGTCACAGGCATTGTCACTGCACTCTGTAGCTGTACGAAGGCAACATAATGTCAAAACCAAGAACCAAGAACAAGAACAAACATAAATCTAGAGTGCTGATGTACTGATTTAGCTAGACAAAACAACGTATCCTTGCAAGTGTGACAGTAAAACATAGGCTGAAACCAGGTTGAAAGTTGTGCTACTACATAAAGAGAAACACACTGTATATATTGCATATTGAATGCAGCCATATATCTATATATTTAGCAGTTAACTGCCTTTAATCAAGGCATTTGCCTCCACAGCCTGGAGGAGGGGGCATAATGTTGAAAGATCTGAAACACCCAGTGATTTAAGGAACATCAGGGATGTTGCTTATTGCTTATAAGCTATATGTTATAGACTATTTAGTTTATACTGTGTGTTTTGTACCTTTTCCATTGCTTCTTTTCCATCCACTTTGTGTTTATTGTGTAGAGAGATGTATGTCTCTTGTATCTCTTCAGTGTGACTTAGTTTTTGGCAAAGCCATTATCTTGGATTGTTTATGTTGCATAGGTGGAGCTGGATCGTTTCCAGGAGACACTGTGTATTCTCAGGGTCTACTATTTGAGCATGTACAATCAGGTGCTGCTTGAGCCACCCTCTGACTTTGCCTGCATCCCCCTACTGGACACTGTAGAAATGAAGGAGCAACACGAGAGGCAAGAAACATTATCATGGCAATCTAACAATGTTAAAAAAGATAATAAACTGAAATGACAAAACAATGAATAGTTTATGGATAGTGAGTGCAGAAAGTGACAGATTTATTTTTGTTCTACCAGTAGTAAGCCAGCAGACACAAGTGTGTATGGTCAGATGGATGACAGTAAGGACAAGAAGAAAACAAAATTGTAAGGGAGGAGCACTATCACATACAGTGTTTCCTTGAGGTTTTTCTGTAGCATGTTTTATAGATTAAATAGATGTTGTCATTTCCTCACAGTCCAAGTCGCTGGCACATACAACACATGTTCACATAAACTTAAATATAAACAGTTTTGTTCTCCTCTCCAGTATTACCGTCCTCCCCAGACATCCTGACTCTTCTGGAGAGGTCTCCAAGATGAACAACCAGGGTCAGCCTGAACCTGTCAAGGTCATTCCTGCCAGATATTACAGCATATACTCTGCTTTTTTAAATTTACTGTAGTGATTTTAACTTGTGCTGCTTTATAAGACCACCCAAAATACTCTGACACTAACATAAGAATATTAATGGTTGATATTTTAATATACAGTAAGAAATAAAAACCCCAATGTTTACTCTAGCCATCCATTGAGAAGCTGATCTTTGACTACGAGGAGAGACTCAGAGCCATCAACAGAATGGTAATGCTTTGCATGCGAGAGCTTACATGAGCATATTATGGAGGTATTTAGATATTTTTTAAACTCCTGACATGTATATCTTATATATATATGTGTAGATGTTGGCAGAAGCCAACAAGATGGAGAAGGATGGGGCTCAGGATAAAGAAGTCATAAACAAAATAAATAAAGAATATTCAGCTGCACTGGATCACGAGGGTATGCACACATACACACATTCTGTAGTTTCTGTATATCACAAAATATTTTCAGTATTCTTAGTGTAACATTGTGAAATTAATAAATTGTGGTTTTCTAAAAACTAATATGAATGATATACTGTATATGTATACAGGTGTGACTGTTCTAATGTATACATGTTTGTATTTGCAGTTGTGCACATCTATGCATATGTGTATGTGTATGTACATGATCTATATATACTTACTGTACTGTATATTGTTGTGTCCAGAGAATGCAGTAAAGGTGCGCATTGCTCTGGTGAAAGGTCATGGTCTGGTGATGGTGCACTCCCTGCACAGCAGAGCAGAACAGACCTTTAGCAGCATGGAGAAGTGGTTAGAAGCACAATATCTGGCAGAAATGAAGAGGTATGGTACAGCAAGAGTATGGGTTCATGTATGGAATTGTATGCTGTGGGCCATGTGTACAGAGAGTGTTTTTTCAGTAATAATTGACAGAAAACATGCAGTTTTTGTTTTTTATCCGTATCTGTCTCCTGTTCTCTAGTATTGACCAATTATCACAAGTGGTTTGCCACCACATAGAGGCTGGTACTAAGCTGCAGAATGAGCTGGTGTTGGTACGTAGTGACTTTGTAATTGTATAGAATTTTTAAAAAGTTTTAATATGTACCCCGGGTAGGTGTAGTGAGATGCTCACTAGTTACAGGGTGTGGCTGCTGCAGGATTAAATTTGAACTGTTGACATTTGACAATGGGCTGCATTCTCCTGTACCTTGCTTTTTCCAGGAATGTACTGACTTCTGTCTGAATGGAGACTGCCACATGGTGGCTAGCCCTGTTGCCCCTCCCCGTCCACCTACTCTAGAGAAAGCCTTACGTTCCACTCCGACCATCACTCAGCTAGAGTCGCTCCACCAACAGCTATGCAATGTTGCTCCATCAGGTACAAACAGAGGAGATTAGTTATGATCTGACTGGGTCTGTGAATCCAACTCACTATCCATCATCCATCAATCCTCTTCTTTCCTTTCTGACTTTCAGGCCTCATGTCCAGTTTTGAGTTTTTCAGCTTGCTCAGGGATATCACCTCTGTTAACATGGGCAGGAACAGCTTGCCTGAGCCCTGGCTCAACAAGAATGAAACACAGGTACTCTTCAAAGTATTCCAGAGGCTCAAAACACAAAGTCTGGCAATAATTTATTCCCTCTTTCCCAGATAGCATTAAATAATACAACAACTCTGCTAGTTTATGGGCAACGTAAGTCAATTAAAATGATCACAAAGTATTTAGCTGACAGTATGGTGCAGGAATGTTATGTCTTGCTGATCTTATCCTGCACAGACTGAGTCAGCAATTTGCATAGTCTAAGCAACCAAATAAAATACACCTTACATAGTTTATAGGAGCATTATCCTATTCTCTCCTGTCCCCAGTTGATGGAGATTGTGTCTCTGTTAATGGAAGACTCTGAGCTGATCGACTGGCGTCGGTTTCTGCTCAGTGCTGCCCTCCCTTGGCCGTTTCCCTCTTTAGCACAGCTGCTGGTGGTGCTAAGACGGTTCAAGGCAGCAGATACTGGTGATGTCGGCTATATAAATGAGGAACAGTATCTACAGGTTAATCTCTATGCACACACAAACTCTGAAGTATTTTGTAAATTTTAATTTTGATTCGCCGGTTAGACATTTTAACTGTGTTTTAATTCATATGTAGTCCTTCTACTCTGGATGAACCCTCATCTACAAGTTATCTATCCACTCACAGTCATCAATGGCTTCTCGTTCTTTAAATAGGTCTAGGTTCAAGTCAGTGTGGTGACACATTTAGTATATATTGTACTTTATATAGTATAAAGTGAACACTGTAGCTCCCTGAATATAAAAAGAAGTGATTGATTTGCTCTTTTTACCTCTGCTCTTACCAGACAGAGTTGTGGTTTTCCAGTGAGAATGTCCAGACTGTCCCTGAAGACCCCTCTGAGCCTCTACCTTATGACCGTCTGACTAACCTGCATAAGGTAACTGCAGTGCCTGACAACTTAATTCAAAGTCAAGGTAAACTTCAATTATCCCTGACATGGGAAATTTAAGTGGTCATGGTACACGACCAACATAAGAGACTGAACAATGAGAAGAGTGATGAAATAACATAAAATTACAATAGGGCATGTCCCAACTTGTTACATTTTAAGTATAAAAGGACTTCAGCTTTCAGTTGAGTATGTACAGTGGTCATATTTACAAATTATTGCACTGGGGGAGTTTTCTGTATTCTGTTACACAGCCAAACATGGTTTAACTATTCATAAGACATATTCAGTAATACCATATTGTGAAAAGAAATTAACCTAAAACACAAACTAATAGGGAATAAACATCCTCTACAACCGTCCATTTTGTGCAAAAACTCAAAAGTGATCAGTTTTCAAAGTGTTACATTTCCTGTATGTCTCTGTTCTTCCTTGGTAGTTCTTTTTCCAGTTGTTTGCAGACCACTCCTTCTCTCCCCCTCGACTGGACTACATGTCCATGTTGCAGTACTTTGCAGCTGACCCAAACCCCACACAGGGGTTTATCAGAGCACTTAGTGTAGTGCTGGGACAGCATCTCAAGCACTCTTTATCAGACCATCTTGTCAAGGTGAGTGAATTAATGAAGAAAAGAAATTAAAATTGAAATTCACTGAAAAGGCACTTTTCTTCTTTACATTTGGGATGGAAATTACATCATCAGTTCAAGTGTGATGTTAATTGAAAGATGCTTTTTATGTTTGATATTGGTCAAACTATTGTCCATCTCATTTAACGGACATTCCTTGTTGTCTGCGTTGTTTACTGTCTGTTTATACTGCTTATTCTGCATTGTTTGCACTTTCTGTTGCTTGTAAATACTGCTTATTTTTGTTATAGCCTTATGCTGGTTTACTGTTTGCACATTGAGAGCCGATGTACCTGAGTCAAATTCCTCGTGTGTCCAGCACACCTGGCCAATAAAACTGATTCTAATTCTAATTCAAACTTCAAGCAGAAGGAGAAATGTAGAGAGAAGTGAGTTTACATTTTTGTATATGTGCTCCTATGTAGCTCTCTGCCTGGCACACTGTTTATCTGAGTATAGCGGGCCAGTGTTCTACACACAAGGACATCCTGAGATCCTACATTCTTAGATAGCAAAATCTTAAGGCATGCTCATGGTAGGTTATGCTCTTTGCCTGGAGACATGAGTTTTATAATTAAACACCACAAAATATTGATCACATGTTCTTGACTTTATTGTATTAATTTCAATAACACATTCTAACCTTAAAACCAACAGTGCCTTCAGATCTAGAATTATAATAGATGTCAGTGATATTAGTTTCCATGATGCCATGTAACAGCATGTGTCAGGTTCTTCTAGCAGCTGCTAATGGAGGTCAGTACTGTTACATGGCAACAGGATGATATCACTGTATTTTGTTTATACAGTCTATGCCCAGTATAGATGAGGCTACAGAGCTCAGCTTCTCAGAACTTCATGGAGAGTGCAAGGAAGAAGAGACTCTGTGTGCATCAAGCAGTTTGCTGGGGGAACAGGAAGTGTCTATACGTGCTCTACTTGCTGTCATCTGCCACAATGTCACTAAGATGAAAGACAGCAACCCCCTTCCTCCAGGCTGCCTGAGTCAGGAGGAGCTCACTGAGGTATAGCCTTATGAAAGTTCAAACTGGTCTCTTAGGAAAATATGTAAACGAGTGGTTGAACTAATTAAGGGGACGAAATGGTTAACCAAATGCAGTAAAAAGTATACTGTTTAATTTCAAATCGAGCTGTACGTATATTACCTCAAGAAGATTTTGTTTTTATTATGCTTTAATTATTTTACCATCACTGTGCATATGAAGGCATTTTATTTAATAAGCTACAAAATGTAACTATTGAGGGTTACTAAGGTTGGGTATTTTGAGAGTCAGAGATAATAATCCATGAGGGTTTTGAATGCTGCTGTACCATTACTTGGATATTTAGGAGGACAGACATCACCTTCATTTCCATAATTAACTTAAAATGAACTAGGTAAAATCCCCAGTGTACTAAAGTTGTCAAGTTTAATTTACCAATTCTGTGTGTTTGCAGAATAGCTTTGTGCATTTAAAATACTAAGGGGTCCATACTTAAAAATACATTTTCTTGGGATAATTATCAATAGCAATATAGTAAAATTAAATCCTCCCCTCATGGTAATACTGTTTATCTCTACTTGCCTCTAGCACCTGGTGCATATATTCAGAGAGCTGGACTACCAGCCTGAGGACTGTGTTCCCTTCTCCGTTCTCTCTCAGCATCCTTCCATCCAGAGCCTAATGGAGACCTCAACACACCTCCAGCTTGTAGTAAGTCTCTGTGTTGTTTGTCCCCCTACTACAATTTTTGTTACATAAGAATCCAAAATAGCACAACACTTGTCCTGTGCTGCTGTGATTAGTCACATAGTTATCACCCCGACCTTCCACCATCATGTGCATTCATATGCTCATTGGGTTTTTTTAAGCTGACAAACCTACACAAGGATTCACCTCCATTTTCATCTCTCTCTCCCTCCCAAACCTTTTGTGTCCTTTCTTTCTTAGCTTTAACATTTATTATGTTTGTTACATTTATTTATCTCTCAAATTTGTCTCTTTCTGTCTCTTTGTCTTAGGACATTCATAGATTGCTACTGGGACATCAGAATGAAGAAGAGACAGCTTCACAGTTTCCTAAAGAATGAGACATACAGTACATATACATACTGCTGTCTGCGTCAAAAAAAAAACTTTATCAGTATTCTAATTACTTTTGCTTTTGAAATGTTTGAATAAATCATTTTGCAACCAAAGCTTGAGATGGTAGGGTCGACCCCACTGACTTTTTTCCTGATACACTCCAGCAGCTTTTTTTGACTGAGTTGTTTTTCTGATGATTTCTCTGACGTAGAACACTGTTTGTAGCCACAGTGCCCACTGCCCAGTTTAGCCGACTTGTCAGCCACTTCCTGCCAGGGCAGCCGACAGTCCTGTCACAGTCTTTTCAGCCCTGATGTATTGTAGTCCCTACCCAATTTATCAATCACAGCTGCCCGTCTATTAATCAACTTAATGTGCGTGCCATTTAGAAAATAATAAAGTAATATAGACATATAATTAAAGTAAATCAAGTGCTATTAGCTAACTTTTCTCGAGTTATGTTAATCTGAAATTAGTGTACTTTTAAATTGAAAAATTGCATAATAATAGTATTTCAACCTGTTTTCATTGCAGATCAACTTGGTTCAACTCTTTCCTGAAATCTGCGTTTTCATCATTCTAGCACAGTAGAATGCCTTTTTTTTTTTTTTTTGATTTTTCAAGTTGCAGACACTTTTAATATTGATATATACTATGGAGGCAAAACGGCATCCATAATATACATTCTTTAATAATACTGATAATAGGCTAATAGGCTAGGATTTTGAATGCAGAACTTAAGAGTAATTGAGTACTTTTACAGTTGTATTTCTACTTTACATAAGTAAACAATATGAAAAGAAAACTATATGAAATCCTCCATTACTACTTTTACATTTTTAAACAACACTTTTGTGTGCAGAATTGTTGCTTGTAATGCAGTGTGGTGTTGCTATTTTGAGCACTTCTACCACCACTGTTAATGTTTTTATTCAGCCTGGCACTATTATTTAGGGGTTATGTACACCTTTAAAATAGCATCATTTTTTAAAATGTCTACAGCCTTCAAACGGGGACAATTTACTCTAATAGGATGGTTATGGTTCTTATAAAAGGTTTGGGGCACACACGAATCTGATTGGTTAAAGTGTTGTACATTGATTGGCCAGTGTTGACAACGTGGGCGTGGTCAGACGTCAATGTTTATGTAGTCTACTGTCTGTCCGTGTCTGTAACCGCTCCAAGGTCTCTGCAATGTGATTTCGTGGCGTTGCTTTGTTGTTATTTCATTTTACCCCCTGTCTTCACTACATTATGCTCCAGCCTTTAAAATGGGGAATCACTAACAGGTGAAACACGGAAGAAACCGAGGAACAAGCCGGAATGGCAGGCGCCTTTGGTTTCAAAGGCTGCCAGAAAATTCGAGGTCAGCAGATTAGAAATCTGCTTGAAGCGAAGGACTTCTTTCTCTTCGACTGCGACGGGGTTATATGGCACGGAGAGAATGCAATAGCGGGAGCGGCGAAGGTGGTGAATTCGCTGATCCGCCACGGCAAAAATGTAGTGTTCGTCACCAACAACTGCACCAGGCCCCGGGAAAATTACGTGCACAAGTTCTACCGACTGGGCTTCACCGACGTGATGCTAGAACAGATCTTTAGCTCTTCGTACTGCTCGGCCCTCTACCTGAGAGATGTCGTCAAGGTCCGCGGCCAGGTGTTTGTGATCGGCTGCGACGGACTGCGCATAGAGCTGCTGGAGGCGGGCATCCCCTGTGTGGAGGAAGAGGACGATCCGGACGCCACCATCTACAACTGCCCCTTGGCTCCGGACGTCAAGGCAGTGCTGGTGGGGCATGATGATAAACTGACTTTTTTAAAAAAAAAAAGCTCCCGCTGGCTAGTGGAAGGATTCTGCCAGGTATGGTGATGTCTTTGAAGCTTGGCTCGCTTTAATTCAGGTCATGGAGGTTTAGTTCAGGACAGGTTCCACTTAAAGACTATCACAGTTTTTTGGATGAATGTATTACTGACAGCCACTGGGCACATGCCCAGGAGGCCCAAAGCTGGAGGCCGAGTGCTGTTGTAATCATTCTGATTCATTTGTATTAGCTATTTGTTTATTCTGTAATCAAATACAGCTGCATATTAAGTTTCAGTAAATGGTACCCACAGGCTGCCACTCTTCTGAGTCTCTTTGCATAGTTTATGTACCCCATGACTCCCACCATATACAGTGGTACATGTACACATGACAGACTACACATGGCAGCCTCATAAAAGGACAAGTTACTATGCAATACCTCTATGCTCAATAGCATCTCAGGTTTGTGTTAACACATTTTCTCGGGTTTATGTAAAAAAAAAACAAGGCATTATGTTGGCCCACTTAATTTTAACAACCGGTTCAAATCCAGCTGGAACCTTTGAAATGGAAATGTGAGGTCATAGGACAGTTGCTATTTTTGCATGTTTAGTAATCCTGCTTACGTTTCAAGAATATCCTAATTAATATTTCATGTTGCACTGGAACGAATTAAAATCAGTGGCAATACTGAATTCAGAAATCTAACAGTTACTGTAGTAATGTAGCATTACATAGGCTATTCTTTATGTGAGAACTATCAAAACCACTCTCAGAACTTTGCTCTAATCTTTACCCCATGATAGGTTCTGGGTCCCTCACTGCAGCCCTGGAGGTGGCCTCAAGTCGCAAGGCCACTGTGATCGGCAAGCCGAGCCGCTTCATGTTCGAGTGCATCTCCAGTCAGTTCAGTGGGGTGGACCCTGCCCAGTGCCTGATGGTCGGGGACCGCCTGGAGACAGACATACTGTTTGGGTCCAACTGCGGCCTCGATACCATGCTCACTCTCACCGGTGTGTCTCAGATTGAGGAGGCCCAGGAGTACCTGAAAAGCGAGCTGACCACCAACCACAGCTTGGTGCCTGACTACGTGGTGGACACCATTGCAGATTTCTTACCTGCGTTTGAGGAACTGGATGAACAGAACAACTGATGAGTCCCTTTGGCTCTAGTACGGAGCACAGATTGCTTCTGGTGCATTTCAAGTGCAGTGTTTAGTCTGGCAACACAAACATTCCTGTCTACAATTATCAAAAACTATACAGTAAACGTTCCTCAGTAACAAGGCGCTGTTTATGTTGTGAGCAAGAGTCGTAGGACATAATATTCTCAAAATAATCAGAGTAATCCAGTTCATACCTCAGTGTTTCTTCTAGTGTTGTGCCCATTTGTGAATTGACCGTTCCCTCTGACTTGGTTATGAATATACTGCACTTTCTTGTTCATGGCTCGTGTTTGATACTGGATTTTGAACATCCAGGGGTATTTTTGCAAAGACAAAGTGTTGTGTAACCATGTGTTTAGGAGGTGGTTAATTTTTGCCAAAAGCCAGACAATGTCTGTTTTCTTGTATGCGTTTGCCAGGCTGTGACTTCTCCTGGATTAATTTATGGCAAAAGGAGAAACTAAACACTGAGGTTTTCTCAGCTCTGGTGGAGACTAAGATGACAATCTGCCAGTCAGACAGGTGAAGTGTACATTCACTTTTGGCCTTTCTGTCATGTCTGTAATACTTGTGCCAATATCCATCAGAGTAATAAACAGCTTACTAAATCTTGTAGTTAGAAAACGAGCGTCATTAACGGTGGCCAGTCGTACTGCTCCGTCGTGAAATTTCAGTGTTGTTAATGATTACCATATAGAGCATGCCAGCAACAGTAACAATGAATCCCTAAAATTTATTCTAAATATGTTGTTCATCTGTTGAAGGCATTATTACAAATGTCTGTATCTTCTGCTTGTTCTGGGTCTATGTATCTACATCAAGTATGATAAGAACACCACAGCCAAAATACAAGTCTTTTAATCAGTAGTTCACATGACCTCAGCACCATTTCATGCAATATGATGTGATATCCAGCACCTCTTCAGCCTTTGTTAGCTCCAAAAAACAGTCGGTTAGTTTACTGCAGTGACAGAGAACAAAGAAACCTCCCGATGATTCTCTGTACCAGAACCTTGTGCTTCAATTTTGGGTAAATAATATGAAGAAAATAAAAATCTGAAAAATCCTGACTTGTTTATAATGCTAAAACTAAGTTTCAACACAGGCAAAAAAATCTGCAAGAAACAGTTGTGGTGCCAGTAAATAAAGGAAAACATAGAAGCTAATGTTAATGATGGTGCATGAAATACAGTGAAGACGCCCCTTATTTTGAACTTACAATACAAATTTAAAACCTAAAAATAAACATATGTACATTTTAACAGGATTTACACAACCCTTTATTCTACATCGTGTCTCGTGGCATTCATTTTTCTTGTGCTGATGAATAAAAACACTGATCTCCGACAGATGTGGCCTTTGGCTGCAGTGATTGAGTAGCTTCATGTCACTCTGGTCCACCACGCTGTGGTAATAAAAGAACATTTTTTTCATGTTAAATTGCTTTTTGAAGAGTTTTTCCTTGTCATAGTTGAGGGTCAGTCTAAGGACAGAGGGGCTCATATGCTATACAGACTGTAATGTCTTGAGGCAAATGTCTGAATTGTGATATTGGGCTATATAAATAAAATCTGACTTGGCTCAAATGTATCATTAAGGATCATGACATGAAAGCTCATTTAACATGACACTGCACATGCACTCTGTCTAAATAGGTCAACTACTTAGGTCTACATTTTCAGGTTTTGCATTATGTTAAGTTTTCACAAGCTGTGGCTGCAGAGTTAAGATAAACTTGTTTTCCTCGTTATAATCCATTAGAATTCCTTTGTGTGTGTTTAAAAGCCAAAGCTCACTTTGCAGGTTTATCTTTAACTGCTGTTTATTACTGCCTTGACCCATCAAACTTGGTTTTAAAAATGTTCAGTTTAAGGCTCTGGGCACAGTCTAGTGTGTAGGTGGTCAGCTCTGCCCCTCACCTGGATGTAGTCAATTTCATCCACTGTCAGCGGTCTCCTGCGGTACCTTGCAGGGACTAACTGAATAGAGGCCAGGGTGTCAGGCGTGCTAGGGGCTGGATTCAAAGGTGCGTGAGGTCTTGATAACAGAGGCGGCGTTGGAGCCGAAGGAGAACTGGGAGCATTGTGTTGTGGAAAGTTAACTGTTAACATTTTCAATGCCTCTTGAACTAGAAAAGAAAAGAATAAAACATTATTGATAAAAGACAACTCAAGGAAACATTTGAAACCACAGCAGGGAAAATATTAAAAAGATGAACAGATTCTAACCATTTAGAACCCAAAGCAAAATTTATTCAATCATAGCTAAATAATTTTATATATGTCGAGGATTTCATCTGAGTACTGTGGGAAAAAAACTTCATTTAAAAAAATATAATAAACTCCTGTACCATTAAAATCAGTCATTTCAAAATGCACTGCAGCTTTACTGTAAATACAGCTTCTCAAGTGACATTGGCCAGATGGGCACAGAAAAAGTATAAACTAGGCCAGGAAGTGCTAGTTACATCACCAAGAGCCATTTTCCAGAGTCGGTTCCTCCATTTAGGTCATCACTGTCTGACCATTATTCACTTTGTTCATACTCACCATTGGGCCTTGGGATGCCTTGCCTGTTGGGAAACTTAATCAGGGGAGCGTGAGGCCGAACAGCCTGCAAAAACATACATACAAAAAAGTAAACGTCTTTTTGAATTAAGAAGTGTGTTACCTAAAGGGTCAGTTAAGCCTACAGTTCGAGGCATCTGCCAATAAGATAGGAAAACTCTGCAGTGAAAACATCCTGGTTCTACTTTCTCAAAAACTAATATCTGCAAAGTTTGTCTATTGCATACTAGGATCAAACTGTATTCAATTTTCATTTCGGTTGTAAACTGAGTTATGTTTGGATTTTGCTAGTTGGACAAAAAGTTATGTTCATTTCTACATATCAAATATTTGTCTCATTTACAGCAGTTATGTTCGTGGGTCAATTTGACCCGCAACATAACAGGAGGGTTAAACCCCTGTTCATCCTTCAATACCATCAGGAAGGCACCTCATTGGTCTAAAACTCACTCTGCAGCATAACAACCACCACCTGCAGAGCACACACAAGACCCTCGACATCATGAATGACCCCCTCAGCCCCCAGCCACAGCCTCTTTGGATGTTCAAAGCTGCTCCTGCTCTGTATTTTTTAGATTAATTCAACTTTACTGTCATTACCCATGCACAAGTAGAGGGCAACGTAATGCAGTTTAGCATCTAACCAGAAGTGCAGAAATAGCAGTGCAGAGTGTGCAGTATCTAGTCAGAACTAATTTGCCGATGGATATGTACAATTGATATTTACAGTAAGATATTTTGTGTTAATGCCAACTCTGGACAAAGTTATCTAAGCTGCCTCCTCAACGCATCTGTCTGCTGCAATCACCTATTAAAAACTGAGCTAACGACACCGGCAAAGCTGCAAAAATGTTATTTAAAGTTGTCTCAATACGAGAAAAGACATGAGATAACAGTGTTTTGCTGATTAACAAGGACATCATCAAGGGTATGCCCGTGTTTGTCAGCCAAAACTGCTTCACCAACATCACTGATTACCCATTCACAATAACGAAAACGTGTCATTTTGCTTTGTAATGTTCAATACAAACAGATATATAGAGTAATTACATTTTAGGAGCCACGTTACCTGAATAACTCGAGTGGTAGGAGCTGCCATTTTGGAGCTGACTTTGCTCCCCATGACGACCTCTCAGGTTTACTTCCGGTATAGAAAGCGCCTTTAAGCTGTCGAAACTCACAACACGATGGCGCTGTTGTTTATTTAAACAGTAAAGTAACATAACAAGCAATGGTCCAGACAAATATTAAAAAAGGTGCACTTCCTGATAATGGTGAAAGTGGACAAACAGAAGAATGGGATCGTTACGGGACGGATTTTAGCCCAGTTTATCTGTATTAAAATGTACGTAAGCTGATTAACCTAAACATTGCGCCTTTATTAGCTTTATTTTACCTGTGGGTTAGCTCTGTATTATTCCCCGTAAAGCAATTAAATGACAAGAATATTGTCAGTGTTATAACTAAAAAAGCCGATGCAAACCTACTATGCCAGGACAAAGACAAATATCTTCAGTTTCACTCCGCCTTGATAATAAAATAAATAAAATAATAAATCCAAAACACATTGATCACGTGGTCAATTTGTGTCCAATCAGAAGCCAAGGAAGCAGCACAGATGTTTTATATAGAAAGATGTATCACTAGCGGAACTTTCAAAACGAAATGTTCACTCGTTCATGCGGAGCCATAGACCACTTCCACAGGCTGAGTAATTTTTTTTTTAATGAAGACTAAACGGAGTTTGATTTGAATTCATAAACTAATGGGTTCCTCTTTAATTCAAAGTATATAAGGTTTGAACAGAAAATACTTTAGAGCTAATTTAAAATTCTGATAACACAAGCAGAAAAGGATGGCTTAAAAAAAAACACACAGTCCCAAAATGTTATCATGATGAAGCATCTTTCTATAAGGCTCTTTGTGAATGCGATCAAGTTTGCGGACTATAACTTTCCAACATCTCCATCCACTGGATTCCCAATTTATTGCACAATTCTTTAAAGTTTTGTAATGTTTTATAGCTCTCTTTACCCATGTTTGATTCTGCATTCATAATTAATAAAATCCATCTCCAACACCTGAACCACAAGTGGGACAAGTGAATTTCCAAACCTTTATTATAATAGATTAAATTGTGCTGTCTGCAGAGAGCCATTTGAGTGTTAAGGATGTATTAAATGTGTTTATGCATAATAGTTCTTTTTAGTTATACATTTGTTTGCATGCATTATTCCATATCTACAGATGATGGAACTGCTAATGCAGAAACAGAAAATATCCCCCCTCCTGCCTCTGCCTTCCCAGCCACAACAAGAAACTACATCTCAACACATAAGTAAACAGTTCACATTTTATTAGATCTTCTTTTATTACACAAACTGGTCCAGAGTCATGGAAAACAAAAAGGTCTCAGTCTTATCAGTGGCCCACTCCTAACTTGAGATACCACTCTGACTTCTACAGCTTCACAATCAATATGTGCACAGAGCAGTAGCACTCAAGTGAGGATTTGGCCCCTGACATTTGGTTCAGAGCTGTTTGCAGGTAGTGTGCACTACTATTTGCCATACAGCTGTTTGACTTTGCTCGCAGAGCTGTTTGCCATACAGCTGTTTGACTTTGCTCTCCTACTATATCTGAAGGCAACACCGATTCATTGGTTCTTTGGCCTATTGAACAGCTGTGTGAGTTGGTCCTGAGAGGTAGCCTCTTTTTGCTGCATGAGTTCAGCATGGCCCTTGGTAACACCCCAACCATCAGGGACAGACATGGACGGACACAGAGGACGACCAGAGGCTGGCTTCAAGTTCTCCCAGTAGTCACGACGGGCTCTAAAACAGACAATAAATAAGAATCCTCATACCAGTTAGTAGTACTCACTGGTGATCGACAGCTAATATTTCTCATCTTAATGATTTTAAGAATATATTTATTAAACAACACATAAATGGACATGATACATTGCTTCTGACCTGGCTCTGACCCACGGTTTGGTGTGCATCTCTAGACCAGCACCCCAGTTGCCATGTTTCTCTGAAGCAGCTGGGAGGAAGCCTCTCTCAGGGGCCAGCTCCTCTGCTACAGCCCTGATGTGATAAGGTTCAAATCCACAGCAGCCACCAATGTAACGAATGCCAGCATTGTAGGCCTCTCTGGCGTACTTGTGCATATCCCAGCGTGTCAGGATCCTGGGCTCCAGACCTGAGATAAGATTCCACATTAGATTACAGGGTGACCTTGCTACACTTTGATGCAGGATGCATTAAGAAAATGTTATTTTGTTGTGCCATTTTATACTTGATTACATAAATTGAATGGTAACATTTAAATGCAACATCATATTATTATTACTGAAGGGGAATTCTGGCAGGTCAATGAACCCCTGTATATTGCAGTCGGGCGTGTGATACGCCAGGGGCTGCACCATGTAGTGAGCCTTCAGCCCGGCCTTTTCCACTCCCTCTTTCATCATCTTGACAGTTTTCACAGCAGTCATGGGGTCAAAATGGCAGTTGACTCCAACAATCTGGGCACCTACAGAAGAGCAGGCATTAGTGTGAGCTGACCATTACAGATATGCAAAGGAAGAACACAAGTAGCAGAGATGACACTAACTGTATTTTGCAGTTGTGGTCGCAAGGTTTGGGTTTAATCTAGACATTTTGAATTTTTAAATACCATAACAGATGCGTCATATTTTATATCCATTATCCTGTGTGACAAGATCTTGAGACCAATAATAAGTTGTGCTCACTGGGAATATAAGAAAACAGTCCTTACCGGCTTTGACCAGTCTGACAGCACACTCTGCAGGTGAGACACGATTCATGTCTCCCTCTGGTCCAATACACAGAGTAACAGCCACAGGCTTCCCTGTCTCCTTCAGCACCTCCACAGCCCACATGGCCTCTTCAACGTGTTCAAAGTACTGCAGGACAGAAACATCAGCAACTTGTAGGAAACAAGCAAATCTGGCATGAAATTGCTTTAACATTTAAAAACAAGCACCAAAAAGAATTCTGGGGGGGGGGGGTTTCAGTTCTCTCCTTCGGCAACACAGGAAGTCCACATTTTTCTTGATGAACACTTGCAGCTGTTTCTTGAAGATGGCCTTCACCTCTGTCTCACTCTTGCAGCTCAGGTAGGATGGAGTCTGAGACACGCCTCCAGCAACCAGAGCATCACCCTCGTTGGCAACCTCACGGGCTAAATCGCAGGCTGCCTCATTGATTTGAGCTCCCTGCATGAAGTATATGGAATATGTGGAAAATGCGTTTTTGAGTTTATAGATATTACTGTCATTTTCATTTATATTACAACTTATATTCATAAAGGAATTGAGTAATTTTACCTGCTAATGTTAATGTACAGATAACATTTCCCTCCAGTCACCTGCATGATATTCTGTTTATCCCTATGAAAGTGGTTTGATGTCTCTTTTAACTTACAGTGAAGGTGAGTTTGTTGCCTCTGTTTTCCAGCTTGTCATCACTGGCATAAAAGGTGAAGGTCTGCATAACATTGGACCCAGCCCTCAGGAATTCCCTGTGCAGCTGTTGTACTGAAAGTCATCAGACAAACAGATTGCATCATAAGGCAAACATACTAACAAAACCATCTAAACTGTGCTACGTAATGCACAAGGAAGCACCTGCTGAGAATAATAAAGAAGCTGTTTTATGTTGAAATAGAGTATTAAAGCTGATTATAAAGCTTTTTCTCACCTGCTTCAGGGTGCTCTACAGCAGCTTCAGGGGTCCAGGGACCAGCTTTCACATAACCTCTCTTCTCCAGGGCAAACACAAACCCGCCATCACCGATCACAATCTCCCCAGCATCAAGACGCTCCAAGATTCCCTGTGATAATAAATACTAAAAAAATGCCAAAAATGCGAAAATGAAGTGCTGGTCAGTTTTGCTTCAACAGTGACAGAGGGGTCCAGAGGACTTTTCATCAGGATGTTTTTAAAGTCGCTTCTTATAATTACATAGATTCTTTACTGGTCTTATGCCTCCAGGAACAGCTGGAAGCCTCAGTGGTCATAAGAATGTGACTTGACATGCCAGCTGTGAAGAAGATATGCTGGGAACACTCTGCCCTGAATAATCCACAAAAAAGTAAGTAGTTTTTGGGCCTTCTGAGACTTTATACTTAGACACGGCACATAATATTACTAATGACATGCCACAAAACTACCATGCAAGAATATTCTGCAGGATGAGTTTAGACACCACGTACCTTCTTTTTCGGTGCCATAATCCTACAGCTGTGTGAATGCTCAGACTTTGAGAAATTGAAGTGACATTAGAGTGGGGCTGAGGGCCATTATAAATCTCTCTGAAGTAGGGAGGGGTCCAAGCAACAGCTGCTCTGATTGGCAAGAAGCTAGTTACACAACTGCAGTGTTTACTTCTTCCTGTCCCCTCTTTAACTGAATGACAGTATTGTGAGTGTATGTTACTGGTTTGATAATTATGTTTGATGTGTTTGTCTGTCTTGTGAGTTTATGTATTTCTGTTTTTTGGACCCTGAAAACTTACAATTGAAACTTCCTGACTGACCTACTGTACTTCTAAATCAATGCATATGTGAAATGTGTCCAATAGCCTTCATTGTACATAACAACATATAAGGTACTAGGGCTACAGACAAGACCATCTTTAATAAGTATTCACTGGAATATATAGTGTGGTTCTGCTTTTGATGCAATTCTATTAAAAGTTTACTTTCAGTGGACAAACTAATTCTCTGCAAATTAGCTCCACTGGTAAAATGTTCATACATATTTGCAAGCTCTAGGTTAACCAGCCTGGTTGCATCAAATCCAATTTTTCAGGTGTTTGTCTTTTTCACGTGACCCTGAAATGTCTGATGCAGTTAGGAAATACAAATTTGCAGTGTCCTCATAGCTGAACCTTCTGAAAAGGCCAGAAGAGATAAGCTTGTGTTATGCACCTCTGTCCAGTTTTTGTTAATCTTGAGACACAAGACTGATAAGACTGGCAATGCAAGTCAAGCCTCAGAGCAACGTGTTGTTATTGACTGCAGCTTCTATATGTTGATTAGATTATTTTATATGACTCTGATCCACTTCTGAAGATCTCAGAACAGAACATAATTATTTGAGCTTTGTAAAAATCTTGCATTTTAATTTCAAAGAAGCATTCACATATATGTAACAAACTGTATAAAGCTGCAATATTTCATCAATTGAATGATTAAGCGATCAGCATAAAGTTAATCACCAACTACTTTGACAATGAATTGCTAACTTTCATTTTTTGAGAAAAATGCCAGAAAGTAGATAGTTTCAGCTCCTCCATTATGACAAGTTGCTGTTTGAACCTTTGTTCAACCTTTGTCTTTGAGCTTTGTACTGTTGGGCAGCTGAAGTCATGTCAGGCTGTGATGACACAGTGATGGACTTTTAGTTTTTTTCCCTGGTGATTGAGCAATTAAGAAAATGATCTGGATTAATCTAGAAGGTAAATAATCATTAGTTGTAGCTTTGTGAGCTATTGGACAATTTGTGTCTTATATGACAGAAACCAGTATTAGTCTGGATTTAAAAACCACTAGTGCATGTAGATCATTGCATTTATCCTGGTTATTCATTAACACCTCCTTCCCTGACTTCAGTTTTCATTCCTGCCTTGTTTTTTTCTAGGTCATGAACACAAACTCACATTAAAATATGCACAAACTCACACACAAATACAGGGATATTGTCTGTTCATTTTTGATTCTTAACACAGAGTGCCTGTTTTCTATCCCTTTGCTGCTGTAACAGTGTGAATTTCCCACTTGTGGGACGGTTCCCAGTTGTGCTTTCTTCTCAAAAGCAACTTAAACACTGGTTGTGTTTAGAGATGACTAGACTGTTTACTACAAGGTGAAGTAGTTTCACTTGCAGTGACAACAGCTGTGAAAACAAACTTTTTCTCCATCATTTGTCCTATTTCAGAAGTGTCTAAGAAGCCATATCAAATATTATTTCATGTAGAGTTTTGTGAGGTTATGCCATAAATTCATTTCTATGAAACCTATATTCATGCTGTATATCATTTCTTGTGAGTTACTCCAGCTATTCCAGCTGGAGTGTGAGGCACTGACCAGCTTTTTGCAGTCATAACTAGTTCTCAGAGGCTGGAAGTGAAGCAATCTGTTGCAAAGAGACCAAAGGTCGCAGCAGCGAGTGAAAGTAGAAAGGAGAGATGGATGAAAGTTCAGCCTGGTTCTTGCTATGGGGGTAACACATTTGCAATGTGAATGACCTGGGCTGACACCGATAACGTTGTGGTTAACTACTGACTCCTAACAAGCTGATAATGTGTCAGCTTAGTCACATGATTTTTTGGCCCAGTGGCAACAAGAGACAGCACAGAGGTCTGAAACATCACATGGTTAGTCTTAACATGAGATTATGTTTTGCATTGTAAACTACAGTGCTAGTTATGGTAATGCTGTTGTTATGTTGAACTATTACTGAATTTCTTTGGTCTGTAGTTGCATGTCATTGCAGAATGTATGTGCAATGCACATTCATGTTTCTGGCCAATTTTTGTTTGTGTGTGTGTTTAGAGAGTTTGAACACATTGAACATTCTACATATCTTGATGTCTTTTCTGTCTATATTCGCACACCTTCTGTTTTCTGTTGCTTTACTCTCTCTTCTCCCTGTGCCACTGTGGTCCCCTGTTTACCTCTACCCCTTTCTCTGGTCCAGTCACAGCACAAGCTAAAGAAGATGTTCTGCTGAGCATGTCCATTCTTTGTGGATTTGTAAGCCACAGAATGATAGATAGGCAGTGAGACAGAGTGAGAGAATGAGGAAATGAGTGTGGTAGTCTTTGTGGACTAATTTTAGCCCTTATGTTGCATGAGTACAGTGTTTCTAAGAAGTAGCACCTGCAACGCACTCACTGTGGCCAACTTCTTGGGTTATAAATAAACACCTAACTAACTAAAAACAAGGTGGTAAAAATGATGCAATGTAATATTTTTAGACACTAGAGGGCACGATAGCACACTTTACAGTAATCACTGAAGGCAGAGGCCTTTTGTTTAAAATGTACAACAACACACCTAACGCCTAAATAAATAAGTTAAGGATCATATTAAGGTCACTAAATGGTTTGATCACTTTTAAAAATATGTGAATAATTTGTCACTACTTTCTATTATTACCTATATATCACCTGTTGGTGAGAAGACACAGTAAATAAGTGTCCTCGGGCAAGATACTGACCCCCCCCAAGTTGTCCCCAATGGTTAGAACTGTATCCTGGAGAGCTGCGATGCTCGAGGTTGCCATTACTTCAGAGTACCTAAAGGTAATAGGTAGAGGAGAACATGCCATCAAATATTAGCCAGATGAGTCCAGTAAAGTCCAGGGATTTTAAGAAGCTGTGAACCATGAGCAGCAGACTCTCAACTGCTTAACGCTCCTTTTCCATCCTTGTGTACATTTGGCCTCCTTCAAATATCTGACTGAATTAGCTAGCGTGTGTTTTTCTCTTTTGTTTGTTAGCAACCACAGACATACTGTCCAGAAACAATTCATAAAGACACCTGCATCCAAGAGTTATATTTATTTTGGCAAAACAAATGGCAGTGCAACACTGGTGATGCTTGTTAGGTTTGACCAGTCTGACAGCACACTCTGCAGGAGAAGGACATTCTCATTTATGAGAATGAGCCAGGGGTTTTGTTCATTCCTTGTGTCTATAGGTTGACTAATCTCAGCGTATTAGTCAAGAGGGTTCGTCAGATACAGTAAATAAAATTAGCACAGAATCAAAATATTTGTAAAGTCAACCCGGAGCCAAAGTACTCAAAAGTACTTCAAAATCTCCATATACAGTAAGATGATCTCTAGTTTACATGTTTGTGTGTCCACGTACAGGTATGAGTCAGACACAGACTCAGCAGCCCTGCTGTTTTTTTTGTTTTTTTTTGGATGACAGGAGATAAACTTGCTTGTCCACCATGGTGAAAGAGAGTCTTCGATCAAAGCAGAGACATCAGAGCATTTTCTTTCTCATGAAGTCATGACTTCAGTCATGTTTGCTGTGTCCCTTCGGGGTCTGGGTGATCTGCCTCATTTGCTGTGTTTTTGTGGTCCAAAGTGTTGTGTCACTTTTAAGTCATACCTTATTTCTGTCTCACACAGTGTCCTGGTGTGACCTCATTTCAAACTTCAAACCGTATACTGCCGGGAAATCCCCAAAAGCAATAGTGGAAATGATGGATTCTCCTTTTTTCTAAATGCCTGGCCTCTGACCACACTGCCGCCTACTCTGTGTTAATGTTTACCTCATAGGACTGAAGCATTTTAACCCCTGATTAACTGGGTTCTTTCTGGCACTGTGTGCAACAGATAATATGAGAGAACAACATTATCTTAAGGCATTTGAACAAAAAAATAAAGCTGAAGATGAATCTGTGTTTTCATTATTTGTCATTACTCAGTGTTACTTAAACTTCACCTCAGTCTAACTTCATGTACCTGCAGGTCTGACATGTGGGATTTAACAGGATTCCGAGGCGTTCCCAGGAAAAATGAGATATATATAGTCTCCCCAGTGTGTTCTGGGTCTTTCCCGGGAGTCTCCTACAGTTTTGATCTATTATTAGTTAAAAAAAAGGTTTAATAGCAGGTTTAAATTGTAGGAGTGATCAAACAACCTCACACAGTCTAAGTTATTGACCTTAACTCTTTAAAAGCCATATTTAGTGCAGGACTGAAAGGTCACTGCTAACCATGTGGAGCATGTGGCCTTTTCTACACTCTTGGCTTGGTGACGGTTCCTTATCAGATGGACACTCACTTCACCACCAGCTCGCCAGCATTAATTAGAGGGGGTAATGGCACATCTATAACCCAAACACACCACTGATGGGTCAGCTGAAAAGATTGTACTTGTGACACAAGAATTCATGAATATCATTTGTTTTTGACGTATCTTCTGAAATTCAATAATCATATTCTTTAGATTTAAATGAATACTTAACATGAAATTAACTGATAATTATATTCCAAAAAAAACAACAGGACTTTTAACTACTTTGTTCACACATTAAAATCAAAATACAAAGACCTGATTCATGCAAAGCCTGCTTTGTTTCAGAAATGTAAACACTGCCACTTACGTCTTTGTGATGCTGTAGAATCAGTGCAGCTATGTATTTAAAGCTTCAAACAACAGAATTACACCTGGAATGGCATTATGGCATAATCTGTACACAGAGCAGCCCCAGAGCCGCTACCCATCAAGCCCAGTCATCACTCCCACCACAGGGTGCTTTGCAGCTAAGGAGATCCTCCTGGCTCAGAGACTGACCACACTTATCTGTTTACAGATGTTTCTGCCTCCCACGATGTTCTCACCAGGACGACTCCCACAGACAGGCCTGGAAAGAGGAAGTCTTGAAGGCTGGACTGACCAAATGACACAGGGTCTCGGCCGCAGTGGCAAAACTATGCACCATGGGAGGGAAGAGACAAACTGTAGCGTATGAAGTGAATGTCAGGAAGGTGGTAGGAAGGCAATGTGAAGGCCTGCACTTATCAAACTTCCACTGCTGCATCCTAGAGAGGAAATGTGAGCTGGTGTTAACAGGCTGGGTAGAAAAAACAGAAACAGCATGCAGTGGGAATGTAATAAATACAATTGTGGTGCTAAGCTTGAGCTGCATAGTCACAAACACAAAACAAACAAACAAACAAAATCATAATGAAGCATTTCAAACACATAAAAAGTGCACTGGATCAGTGTTCACAAGCAGGCCCACACCAATGTTTATCTTTCATGGGATAATCTCAACAAAACTGAACAGGATGAGCCTTACCAAACTACTACTTACTCCAGGCATATTGGCATCTGTTGTAAAATATTTACACAGTTTGTCTCTCCGCAGACCATGTGTGCAACAAAAGAATTCGTGAGGGGAAAAAAAAAAGACTTTTTAAATATTTGAACAGTGCTGCAACACAAGCTACCATTACTAACAGTACAGTGTGTTTTCTCAGCATCACAGCTTCTTCACTGGACAAAGTCTATTTACTGGAACTGAATGCATGTTCTCTGGTGCAGTGGTTGCCAAACATTTTCATCTCAAGACCCAAAAGAAGAATTTGGTCTCTCTCCTGAACAAATTACATTGAGAATGGACAGACCAAGCTTAACACAGGCAGCTACGCGTGAATTATACAACACACTTACCATTCATTTTATTATGCATTTTAGTCTGATGACCCAAAATGGGCCAAGACCCTAAGTTTGGGAAGGGCTGTTATGATGGATTGTCTCTGTTGAAAAGTTACACAGAAGACACAAAGCTGAACATGTACAATCATCAATAATCACATGTATTTTTAACTTATAGACAAATAGGGATAATTAACACATTAAAACACACCAGAAAACAGAGCATAGACCTGAGAACAGACCACTGCATAAACTGTCTGTGTTTATCTCTGATATTTACTGTTGAGACAGAATTGAGCATGACCTCCATTAGTCCATACAATAATTACTTCCTCCAATAATTAATTGCTGTCACTATCTGATACTGCTTACAACCCATACAGTTCTTCCAAACATGCAGTTGAGGCCCAGCCTCATTCAGTGTTCCCAGCTGCAGTGTATTAGACTTTTCTGAAGTTTTCATATCATCCCAGTGTGACAGCCTTCTCTGGGTTGTCACAGTTCTCCAGACCACAATGTAATTTGTGTGGTTTATGTCGCTAGCTCAGCTCCCTGAGTGAGAACAGAGGAAAGGAGACCGTTTCTTCTTTATGGGAGGAGACACAGCATGCAGATGGAGGCTTCTGATCTGAAATCTTTTCTGGAGAGAACAGAAGTTGGTTTTCTGGTAAAACAACACAGAGCCGGAGACACCGCTGTCACAACCAATAGTTGGGCCTGTCACTCAAATCCTAAAGCAATCTTAAGTCAGATCTCATTACACAGAGGCTGGCCTTTTGGTAAATATTCTTTCTTAAATATGTGCCAAGATTTCAGTGAGAGTATCAATATCACTGTCATGTCTGTGTAATGAATATGGAGCTACAGCCAGTTAGGTTAACTTTGCACCAAGACCACAGCAAAAAGCAGCTACCAGCACAAAAGTAATAATTGTTTTTATTTATAGAGTGCCCAAGGACCTTGTCTAATAATCATTAAAACAGATAAAGCCCAGTCAACAAGAAACAGATAAAAACAGAGCAAGTAGCAACTAATAGCAGTGTCAGAGAAAAACTAATGGTAGTCATGTAGGAGAACATTACAAAAGTCTTGACCGTAGCCTCAGACTGTGATGGAAGAGCAGTGATGGATGTGTGGAGGGAGCACGCTCCAGAGTCTCAGTGCAGCATTAAAGAGCTTATCAGACATTAAGATAAGTGATGAAACAGTAAACCTGAGATTTCACAGACACTCAACAGATGGCAAAAAGCACTGTTTTGTGATCTGAGCTGTGCCGAGTACGTCTGGAGTCAATGTTGTAGGTGTGTCACTAAACCTCAAGTCCGATTCGAGTCTCAAGTCCCCAGTGTTTGATTCCAAGTCAAGTCCGAATCAGCAAATAATCAGCGTTGAGCCCAAGTCGAGACCCCATTGCCTGAGTCTGTGTCATCAGGGTCTAGTTTTAAATCTAACTGACATAGCTCTCACATTTTAAATAGAGTTTACTTATTGTGTTTGACACAACGGCCAAACAAATGCACTTGTAAGTGCAAACACACACATTACTTGGAAGTGAACAGTGTGAATATGTTATGTGCAGTTCACACCTGTCAGTGAGCGAACGAGAAAGAGGCGGCCCCAGGTAGCCGACTTCGGTGCAAGCAGTGATTTATTATGTACAGTGATGATGAGAGTAACAATACACAGAGGGAAATAGTGCGTAGTCCTGTCGATGAGTAGTAACCGGGTGTTGACCAACAGCAGGAGGCGAGGAGATGGAGAGCTGGGCCGAGCTGCGTAGGCTGGGTCACTCCTGGGCTGGTCGGTGGTGATGGTGGCTACTGAAGGTGGAGACAGAGAGATGAAGGCAATAGTGGAACAGATAGGCGACTGAGCATTGACCTGCCTGGGAGGGGAGAGTGGAGCCACGGTCCGGAGGAACAGTCCATGGGGGGAACACAAAACAGTAGCTGGCTAGGGAATAATAATATACAAAAAAAAAAAAAAAAAAACGAGACAGCACGGAGAAAAAAAAATGGCATAGAGACTAGAACGAACTGGCAAGTGACTGAGGAGTGAAACCGGGTAATATAGTGAGCAACCTAATCAAGTGCAGCTGGTGATAAGGGAGTGAGGAACAGGTGAACGTGATTAGTGTTAATGGGCAAGAGACAGTAGGAAAGGTGAGGGAGGCCAGAGCGGCCGAGCAAACCTGACAGAATATCTTTTGCCAAATTACCATGGCCTATCTCCCCCTAAACGCAAGAATAAAAAGAAAAGAAAAGGTCCAAGTAGGAGTCTCCAACATCCAAGTCTGAATGCAGACAATGCTTGAGTCCAAGTCCAAATACAGTACAAACAACAACAACAACAACCGCAACTACTACCACTACTAATAATAATAATAACTGACACAATTTGGACAATAACACTTGAACTTAAAATTGTAGCTGTTAAATTATGCATAAACATAGTATTTTAAAAACTCTACTTAGTTTTAAGTCAAATGATTAATATTTTTGTTGTATGCTGTTGTTGATATTCTGAGGGGTATTTATAGATGTTTGATTATTTTTGTGCACCATATTGTTATCTCTAGTCGAGAGGCGTGAGAAAATGCCTGTATCCTGAGAGTTTGCAGTTTACTTTTCAAACATGCCTTAGACAAAGAAAAAGCGAAAAAGAAAGCCTGCATAAATCAGCCTGGACATATTTATTGGAGTTTATGGGAACTCGTCATCATCTTACGCAAGCCCTCTCAAACTACTTCTTCCTCTGTGACAAACGGAGTAGGGGGAGGGGAAGGGAGGAGGGAGGAGGGAGGAGAGTGGAGCAGGAAAGAGGAGAAAGAACCACGTCAGAGAGTGGGATGGCTTTGTTTGAGGGAGACGGAAAGAGAAGATCGTCCAGAAGAAACTAGTGAATGAGCGTTTGGAGAGCTGGGCTGAGCTGGAGAGGAACCAGCTTTGCGCAGGAAAGGACAGCTTCTTCGCTCGTTGCGCCTGCAAGGACCCTACACTTTCCAATCTTCCGTAAGTGAAAGAGAATGGAATATAGAAAAATAATGTAGCATTTCAGTCACGTACTGTATTTCATCTTTAGTTCCGGCAGATATGAATCCTGCTCCTCAATATGTCATTAATTAAAAACACATTTTAGGGCTTGAAGTCTGCGTGCTTCATTGATTCTTCATAGAGAGATAATGGCAATTTGAATGGCGATACTTTAACGTTTTGTAAGGAGGTAGCAGCGTTTCTACAAACAAAGTAAGATATGAGTTGCAACTGGTTGTACCACTTTGTGTGTTCAAGTGCAGCATCTGGAAGCAGTTGGACATCACAGCGCTAGAGAAATCATCTCCAGGAGAAGCCCAACTGCTTATTATAGGCTGCAGCACTTTTTATAGGCATAGTTTGTATTTTTTATTCTGTCTTTCACAGGTCTGCACCATTCTTGATCTCTCCTTTTCCCCCCACCACAACCCCATGTCCTTGAAGTGCGGGGAGGAGGTTCATAGAGCCACCCGGGTGTTCCACATTATACTGAGAAGTAGTAGCCTACATCATAAACTAAGCAAAATCAGGAAAACCTGTTTATTTGAGCTGAATTCAAGGACAAACTAATGTAAAACGATGAGATGAGGGTTTCACCTCTATCTGTCACAAAGTGCTCTTCACCATGGGGATTAACAAATGAATAATCTACCCTAAAACAGCCTTAAAACTGTTTCAAATCAATATTTGTAATATTGAACAAATTCCAGGCGTTTTTTGATGTGGCTATGCTTTAGTTGAGTTTAGTGTTACTGCCCTAACCTGCCTACCTTTCCCAGGGAACTAGTGCAAACTTGTTACATGGCACTGGATGGAGCAATGGTGATGGTGAGAGCAGAGTTGGAATTTTTACAGTGGTGAAAAACAAGTTGTGCCTTTAGGTAAATGCAAAGTGTGTTGTGGTTGTATGTGATTTTGATGCATTTGGGTTAATTTGAATGATTTATAAGTAGAAATGGTAGAAAAAAACATACAAACTATTTTGTATGTTATCCTCTTAACTATTTTGCCAGTTCCACTATATTGTTACATACTACAGGATTTTTAAACTTAGCCTTAGAAAGATTCTCTATCTAGGAGGCAACTGTTCTCAGTTGAATTTACTTAAGTGTGAAATCAACTTGCAAACTGTAAATCATAATTCACTGATACTCTGATGTAAACCTTTAGAGGCTGCCAGTTCAGTGAATACACCAACAGATTTTATACCTATTCACAACCGAATTACCCCTCTGTGGTTACATAAGGCAGGTTTCTACTAGTCTTTATATTGTAGGGGATTTAATGGAAACCAGTAAAAACCAATATAAACTATAAGCAGTTATTAGTTAACATGCAAAACCATCAGGTCCTTAAAACCCCATTGTAAAAGTGACAAGGGTGAGTTGTTAAGAAAAAGAAGAAAGGAAAAGTTTGCATGATCTGTCTCTATCCAAGTGTAACGTGAGGGTCGCTGAGCTGCTTTGTGTGTCAGAAGCTGTGGGGCCACCACAGTCGGTGTGGGGTGCTGCACAGATTGAATAGGTTAGGGGCCATGGCGGCCTGTCTTTGAGAATGAAGGAGTGCAGGCTGGGCCAACGGTTGCATATTTTGAGAGCTACAAACTGAGTGAGGGGGCCAGTGACAGCACGTCTTTGTGAAGCCTTTGTTGCGTTGAGCTGCACCAGATGAGAAGGGCCGATTTTATTCAGGCTTTTATGGGACATAGACAAAAAAAAACACACTAGCTGATCATTTTCTCTGGGGAAGTCAAGCGTCTTGGTGCAATTATACCCTTGATGAGTGAGCACAGGCTGGCACCTTTCACAGTGTTTTATGAGTGTTTATTTGTTTTTGTCTTTGTGCGTCAGTAAAGTGGGCTGTATTGTTTTAGCACACTGTTGGAGGGTTCCTCACCATGGACTTGTTGTTTACATTTTGGGGCCTCTTATTGTCATCAAAACCTCAGGCCCCCCTGTTGTATTTGAAAGCAACTGCTGGCATTTCTTCACCGTTCATACACAAACAGGGACAACTTTGATGGGTTTTTATAGCTTGAATTGTTTTACAGTATTTAATTAGGATCTGTAAAATAAATCGAAACAACATTTAGAGCACTAAACATGCCTGTGATGGCAGCCATCGCTCTGTGGCTGAAGTTACGAGACACAGGTTGTGGAAAATGTGTATCCATGGGAACATTCTCTCCTTTTGCAACTCTTTATTCGTTGTTTATGAGGACTACAAAAGCAGTGGCTCACATGGTTATGGTTAGCAACACAAAGTTTCTGAAGAGAGCAGCCCTGGTTATTTCATAATATCTAGGAGGACTGAGAAAGCTTCATGTAAACTAAAGAAACTGGACCAATCTTTGTGCTTTTCCCTTTTTGGTGCTTTGTTTATTTTGCATGACCCACTACTAGTTCTCCCCTATGTCTTCCCTTCTTCTCTGTGTCTGTATTTAATATGAAATGTGCTGTGAAAGCAGGTGGATGTTTGCCTCCTTAAGGCTACAGGTTTAGGTGCAACAGTCAAAGGGAGCTATTAGCGTTGTGTGTGAGTTTTCTCATGGTATTTGGTTTGAAAGGCTTTGTTGTCTCACCACCTGTGATGCTAGATGTGGTTTGAGTTACACAATTTCCCCAAACTGCCTTTCAGATTGCAGAGAGCTTGGTGGTGATGAGCTGGAATTAAAGTTTGAGTCAGTACTGCAGGGCATGGGTGTCTGTGTTCTGGCTGATGTTTTGACATATCTCTGTTCTTACATCATGCTTACTCTGTTAAAACAGAGTCTTGATGAATCACTGAGAATGAAGCCTCGGGAAAGGACGTGCTCTCTCAGCCTGCTACTTACTGCACTTCTCTTTTTATTCTAGCTTTTCTAGCCGGTGTTTTCAAGATACAGTCCATAAGCTACTCCACCCGTGAAAGTTAGAGGCATCTCTTGAACCACCAGTAGTCATTTCAAACAGCTGGCCATGGAGGAACTCTTGTCTCCTATAAGTCAGAAACAGTGGCTGCCAGACCAAAGAGGTTGTGTTCTTTTGCACAGAGAAAGTGGAACAAATGGGTTTGAGCCCCGGCCGACTCATAGCCTTCCTGTGCAGGGTTTGCATGTTCTCCCTGTGCCTATGTGGGTTCTCTCTGGGTACTCTGGCTTCCTCCCACAGTCCAAAGACATGCAACTTAGGTTGATTGGTGTCTCTAAATTGCCCCTAAGTGTGAGTGTGTATGGTTGTTTGTCTACATGTCAGCCCTGTGATAGACTAGCAACCTGTCCAGGGTGGACCCCTGCTCTCGTCCAATGTCAGCTGTGATTGGCTCCAGATCCCCGCAACCCTATTCAGGAATAAGCGGTATAGATAATAGATGGATGGATGGATGGATGGAGTGGAACAAAGGAGGAGTGAAAACCAGGGTTAGCATCACTTTATCTTTTTGAGTTAGAGTGTTAAAAGCAGCCAAAGGCTTTGATAGGAGTTGTTTTTTGAGTGTCACTAGACCCTCTAGCAGCTGAGCAGAAATTAAGTAGAGTAAATTTAAACATTCTTATGAAATTGATTGGGAAAATTGAGAGCTGAGGGTGTGGTATTTCCCAGTATTCGAAATACATTGCTTCATTCTCCCGAGCCTCACCTAGAGATCAGCTGCTTGCATTCTTTCATGAAAGAGGGATATGTTTGGTCCCGTCAACCTCTGACTGGTATCATGCTAGTTTCATATCTCTAGGGGCTTTTTTATTTTTCTGATTCTTGAAGATACAGAGGGAATTTAGGGCCTTATAAGTGGCCTGTGACTCAAGTGTCCACATGGAGAGATAGATAGATACTTTATTGATCAGGTATCCAGTAGCACCAGCAATACTTAAAAGTATTAGACTAAAATACAAGGAATAAGTATAAAGATAAAAGTATAGGGACATCTGTCTATCTATCTATCTATCTATCTATCTATCTAATACATACATATCAAGTAACATTCGCCAAGTATGTACAAGAATGAACATTAAATGCAAAGGTAAAAACAAGGGTAAACTGTGTGCAGTACAGCTGTATAGCCCTGAAAATGGTGCGGTCACCTCTTATGTGGTTTTGGTTTGAGGGCCTTCTGCCTGACTGGTCCAGATGCATAAGTAGACAAGACCATGTACTGCAGCTTAGAGAACGGTTTGCCTTGGTTTGAGGTTTCTGGTTCAGGATTTGTGAGTTATGATAAAAACTAGCTAATGGGGTCCTCCCTGCCTGGATCAGCTGGGGGTCATCTGATCTGGGTGGGTGATATTTTTTTGCAGACTCTTAACGGCTGTCTCTAACCTCTCCTTTAGAGAACAACGTGAGCTGACTGTGCTTTAGCTCTCTCAACTACCCACCTTCAGTCTTCATTCACTTTCACCCTGCACAACAGACTATGGTGGCCAACTCGTTACCTCAGCACCTTGGCATGCTACCAACCCTATTGCTGATATCTTAGACCACTTACTCTAGATGTGCTACTCTAACGGCCACCTGACTGACCAACACATGTCTCATATCCACTGCTTGTCTGGGGCTTTGAAAAGGCACCGACTTTGACTGATGTTACGCTTCATTAGTACAAGTTTTATTGAATATACAGGCCGCTCAGCCAACAGATTTTCACAGTCAGACTTGTTGGCCCCGGGATTGTATTTTTTGTAAATTCCATGAGAGAAAGTCTCACAGCAGCAGAGACACTGTCCATATTGGCTCACTGGGTGAAAGATAGAAAACTGTGTAAATGTGCTTCAGGCCCTCACTACATGCATGTGATCAGGTGTGTCAGGCTTGGTTTCTGTCAGCATAGGACAGCAGCGTGGGAATGAGCAGGTCCAGTTTACATCTTGTGGCACATTTACTGTATCATCAGTCAAATTTAACATCACTGAGGAGTCATGAAAGAAGCATAAAACTCCTTGATCTGTCAGTGTTGGTAATGGTACCTACTATGACAGTGACTCCACAGCACACGGAGAGCTGCACTAAGAAAGATCTGACAGTATGAAGATACCCATCTATCAAAAGCAACAGTGAGACAGAGACCTCTCACCCACGGTGCCTTAAGTCACCATTCTGAGAACCTGATGTGCCATGAAGTATGAAATATTTCTTCCTCAGCGCTCACATAAATTTAGAAAGTCATGACTGTGACAAGGAAGTACTGTGCACTCTGCCATAATTCTGCTGAACAACCAGCAAACAAGGGGAAAGTATTCACGGGTTTCAGGATGTAGTGACCTTTTTGCTAAACAACACTGCAGAATGCACATTCGTATGCACATAGACAGTATATGCATGAAACCGCACACACATGCAATTCACCACGTGTGGATTAGAATCTCACATTTGTACAACTGTAAATGACTGGAGCATCAGTAATACAGCGCTAAAGACATACTAGATGTTTAGATCATTAACCATTGTGTAGCATTTGCACAGTACAGATAATCCTTCTAGATTTAAATAAATAGTGGTTAATGTTGGCAGATAAATCTACAGTATAAGTTCTTTACCTTCTTGCTTTAAATGTCAGTATAACTGCCAAAGAAAGATGAATGAGCCCTAGTTGATGCTGCTTTTTACCCAACTACCAAAAGTCCCTTCAAGTGTTCATCTCCCTCCAAGTGCAGTCTTAATGACACTACAAAGAGCCGTGATGAGGTATGAGTAAAGTGATTTCCTGTATGAACTGAGGGGAGATCACACAGGGTGCCTGCTGACTGCCTTGACAAGGTATGTTTAGGCTCCATCCCTGTAGTTTAAAAGAGACAGAGCTGCTAATTTGTGGCCATTGTAGTCTTAACAAGCAGCGCCATGCCTGTCCTGGATGGACTATAATCTGATACAAGCGTCTCCACAGAGAAACTAAGGCTGTAGCCTGGGTGGCTGAAAACTCCTGAAAGCAAACATGCACCCATACAGTATATAACACGTGTGCACACTTAAAAGATCCACATTTACATACATATGTTTATTCACTGTGCACACCCATTTAAAAACTGACATTTCTGTATTGTGATGGTTGCTATAAATAAACACTGCTGGACTGTTTGAGCACTGTTGTGTGAAGCCATTGTTACCACTGCCACCGCAGAATGGAAACTGTGAGAACAATAATGAGAGGCATGGTTTGTGAGGAGGCCTGAAATAAACTCAAGGGCTGTAATAGAATGGGGCACTCTTCACACTTCACAGATCTTCCTCACCAGTGCATCACTGTGCCTCAGATGCTATTGGACAGACACTGACACTTCCTATTTGCTTCCCATTTATTTCTGCCATTTCCTTTTTGGCTGATGATAATGAATAGTAATGTTGCTGTAGCATGTTTACGCTGTTTCTGTAACCTCACTCAGCTCAACTGAAATGCTCCCCCCTCAGTTTATCTTCAAGTGAGACATGACCCTGAAATTCTGCTCAAGCAAAGTAGATGAATTAGAATTTTACAGATAGGCATCACAGTGACACTCTAGACAAAGCAGACCTGTGCACAACCTGGAAAGAAATCTAACCACTGCCTTTTGAAAACACAACCCTGAAGTGCAAACATGACTGAGTCCTATTGAAGTGAATCACAGCTGCACCTTAAGTGTTTCAAATCTCATACCTGCTCCTCAAATGCTGTCATGCCAGTGACTTTATTATGACCCACTTCCTCTTTTTTATTTTTTATTTTTTTGGCTCTAGCCTGACTTCAGAAGAATCAGTCAGCATTTTTAGCTGCATGAAATAATACTCTTATTTTGTGGCCTGGGAAATGTCTTTGTTTTGCCTTGAACTGGCTCAGATCTTATCGGACAGTATACAACATCAGTGTTCATTTGTTACAGATGTGGTGGGATGATTTACTATCCTAAATGGGGGCTGATGGGGATGTTATGTGTAACATAATATTGCACTTCTTCTCCTCGGGACACCAGAGTGACTTATAGCTCACCAATAAAATGACACATTTAGCACGAATTAGTGATAACATAATAGAACACTCCATTATACTCAATTTAAGAATGGTGCCAGTGCTTTGTTCATTATCACAAAAAGTTTTAAGGTAATGTGCAAAGTTTCTTGTTATATATTATTTAATCTCAATCAGGAAGTAAATCTCAAATAAAAACAGTTTCTAAAGTCACTGCACTTTTATGGTAATTGTAGTTTTTATTGTAGAAACTTTGCATTAAGTACATGTACTGTACTTGGTATCAGCAAGTACTAATACTTGGTCTGAAAAAAGTGATGCTGGTGCATCCCCAAATGAAGCCATCACTTTCTACTAGAGATAAATTAGAAATATTTGTTTGTAATTTGGGTGGACAAGCCCTTTAAACTGTAGGATATGCAGACCTGGAAATATCAAAGCTCCTCCTGACTCCACCAGTGTTGTTCACCAACACAGGGAAGGTAACCATGCTGTATTTAAACCAGATCCCACATATTTTCCTGCATGTATCATGATGGTGGATCATGACATCAGAGGGTCTCTGAGAAACCTCCCGTGAGACCACGGCTGTGCCGAGGTCGGTGTGGTCACAGCAACTAAATCATAAAAGGCACATAGACACACACACGTGACTGAGAGGACTGCTTTGAAATTGAGAACGTCATATGTTATAAGTTACAAGTTATTTGTGATTAGGTTTTGATTGCTGTTGAATAAGGAACAAACACAATTAGTTTTTTGCTGTACATTCAGAAATAGCATCATAAATGACTACTGTAAGGTCAGTAACCACTCCCTCTAATTTATTGTATTTATTCAGACTGTAATCGAAATGGAAAACCTCATGATGGAGCTCCACTTGATGACATGTGTGTGCTTGCTGCAGCTGGCATGTGGTACTGTGCGTTACTGTCAAACGTGGCATGCTGTAGCAAAGCTCTGCACTGATCTGTGTTGACAGCTGCTCAGTGGTAAAACACACAAGTCATTTTGCTGATAAAATCAAATTCACAGAGGCTTAGTTGTTGCAAGTAAAATGGTGACAATGTAAAATCTGTTTTCTCAAGCAGTTGTGTGTATGTGATTCTTCGTGGCTCTTCCACCGGACATCTGGAAGTAGTGCTCATGGGGTACTCACAGCTGGCTGGCAGTGAATTTGAAGTAGCGCTGTCTGGGGAGAATGGATTGTTTTGATGACAGTGGTACAACTTAGACATCTTGTGGGACACACATGGGAGGTTTATGATTCATAATGGATGGGAAATGAGTTGTTGTTGATCCTTCTTTTACTGTGTCTCTCTTTTCTAAACTTTCCCCCTTGTACACTCCCACATCCTATGTATACAGAGTGTGTGATTCTGACCTTTGTGTGTCTCTGTGTCTGTAGATGTGCCTTTCTAAATGGTACCATGGGTGAGGGAAGCTGCCTTGGTGCATTGTAGCTGTTTGGGATGACCAGAGGCAGACGTTGCCTCAGAGAGGAAGCGGGGGAAGCAAAGAAGAAAGAAAACATCTACTCAGAGAGGATAAGATCAGCAGCCCATGTGGATCTGAACAGGGAACCTACTGGACTTTTCTCTTTGTAAGAAAAGGAATTTAAACATCGGTTCTTTGAGCCTTAAAGGGCTTTGAAAGTTTTGATTTTATTTTTTATCACTGGCTGTTATCATTGAAGATAGATTTGACGCCATGTGCCATGTCATTGTAACATGCCGCTCCATGCTCTGGACACTGCTCAGTATTGTAGTGGCCTTTGCCGAGCTCATTGCCTTCATGAGCCCTGACTGGTTGCTGGGATTCCCTCGATCGGATTCCAGTGTGAGTAGGGCTGGAGTGGACTCCAGGGACTACAGGCCGTCTCTCGGCCTTTACAGCCGCTGTCTCAATGTCGGGGACCCCGGGGGAGGGGGGAGGGGCGGGGTACAGAAGTGGCCAGTGGCTTCTGGCAGGCTGCCATGTTGTTTCTGGCAGCAGGTACATTAGTGCTAGGGTGTGTGGCCTGTATCTCCATCTTCAGTCTGTGTTTTCAGAGCATCCTGAAGAAGAGCATATTCAACATCTGTGGATTGCTCCAGGCTATCGCAGGTGAGACATCTATCTCTGTATACGTAGGCAATGGTCTGTGTGTTTCTAGAAACATGTCTAGCACAGAATTAAGTAGTCCTGTATCCACACTAACAGACACTGAATCCCTGTCTCATCTGGATAAACTGATGGACTAGAAGTACGTTCAGGAGTTTTTTGTTCCATTTCAAAGTGGGGGAAAAAGGTCGAGTAAACAGAAAAAATTATGTGTATTGCATACAAAGCATAATTTCAGCCTGAAAAATAAAAATACATTTACAATGCATGGTTTTTGTTACTGCCATGCCTCCGTGAGTTCACATATTCAAAGTTTCTAGTTGAAGATGAAGGAAATTAGAAGTTTCCACAAAACTAGGATCTTCTCAACTGTGAGTTTATCTCACTGAGCAGACTCCAGAAGTCGAACAGCTGCTGTAGTGTACACCTCATTTGCTACTGAAGCTAATGCTACTAATCTAGGATCTACATTATGACATAAGTGGTTAAATGTCTATGTAAGCATGTTACTGTTTGTTTTATAACAGCACTAAAGCCTATAGGGATTTCTTTGTTGTTTTTGAGTTTACAAGTTGAAGCATCTGAGTTTGTTGTGGTGCACCATCACACTTTTCTTAGTTGGTGATTAGAACCAACCAAGGGTCTCCAAGTATCTGCTTCTTTCAACACTGAGCTCCCATGAGGTGTGTTTTGCTTGACAGCTCTGTCAACTAGGTAATTTACACATTATGTGACACCACTGCAGGGGTAGTTAAATTGAGTATTTCCTGTCATCACAAATCAAATGTGTGTCCATTGATTTGTTCTTCACCAGAGCTGAGTCACCATGTTCCCAGCTGCACTGTGTGTCTCTGTGCTTTCTGCCCCGATGTTTATATATACATGAATAAACTCTTCATCTCATTGTCTGCTCTGCCTCCAGGCCTGTTGCTGATGGTGGGCCTCATGCTGTACCCTGCAGGCTGGGGTTCAGAGAAGGTGATCAGCTACTGTGGCCCCGAGGCCTTGCCCTTCAGGCCAGCTCAGTGTTCGCTCGGCTGGGCGTTCTATGCAGCGATAGGAGGAACGCTGGCAACTTTCCTGTGTGCTGTTTTGTCCGCACAGGCTGAGATTGCTACATCCAGTGATAAAGTCCAGGAGGGAAAGAGTCTCATCTGCCTGCTCTGAACCTTCAGAAACCTTGGGAAATCATCCTTGGTGTAATTTCTTTCACTATGGACAAGAGTGCATCTCAGTGGAGGGTGGACAGACATTTCTCTGAGTGATTTTTCTCTGTGGTAAAATCAGCTGAAAGATAGAAACCATGGCAACAGCTCTTTAAACCAATAGGCTTGGTGTTTTCTTGTGAAAGTTGCTGATTTCTTTAACTAATTGACAAAGTAAAAACCCATTATTTCCTTTCCTACATAAGATTAAACTGCCAAACGGGATTCCGGTACAGCAGCAGGCTAAGGAACATTATTAAGTGTTTTTGACTATGATGGTGCTTACTTTCCTAATAATTATTTCCTTAAACAAACCACTGCACTGGAATAGCAGCAGATTAGTTAAAGAACTCGGTAGTGTTGTTAGGGTTATTGTGAACAGGTTAAACACTTCCAAAAAAAAAAAAAAAAACAGTGGGTAGGTAGGTTTGTAACGTCATTACAATGTTCATGCACCTGCAAACCTCAACAAACCACTGAATACCAGCAGATGTTCCCACTAAATTACAGAGAGAGAGACAAAAACTGTTGAGATGTTTAAATATGCTCTGATTCTGTGGCACAGCAGGACAGTAGGACTCTAGCTAACTTCAGAGGGAATTTCTCCTGTGAAATGGATTGCTTATGGGTCTGTTGCCACATAATAACTGATGGAGTGTGTGCAGAAAAATCACAGAGAATTGCCATATGTTTACCTGTGGTCAGCTTTCATGAGGGGATGTTTGCACACAGCAGGCTGCACCATAGCTTATCATGAGGTACCTTATGACATGAATACCTGCATACAAACAAGACCTGGCTTTGTAAATAGTCCCAAGCCATGAACAAATGGCATGAAAAATCAAATAGGCTTTGTGTAGCCTTTCCTAGATGAAAGTAAAACTCCCAATGGATCACCGGAGTTCCCACTTCAGAGTGCTGGAGACCCTTTTCAAAGCTAATTAAGACAGATCTCCCGCTTAGTTTGGTACTTTTGGAGTATTCCCATTCCTGAATCGTGCCTGTTTTGCACTTGTTCCTCAATTCATTTCACATCTTGTGTTATTTTTTTCAACCATGCTCCATAGGTTGCTGTAAATATAATATGACTCATGTGATGTTGTGCTTTTACTCAGTGTAGATAAGATGTGCAATAATTCAACTATAATGTTTCCTGTGAGAGTGAGGGACATGGGTTTGGATCAAAAACATTTCTAGTCTGTGCTTAAATTAATATGCTGACTCTCCACTGTTTTTGTTACATTAACAAAAGAGTTACAGCATCTATGGAAAGTTGTGTGACTCTGCATATATGAGAGGCTGATATGTATGAGATGAGATGCAGTGTGTACTTTGTACCCAAATAAACCAGGCCTTCTTTAGTAAATGTATGTGATGTATAAAACCTTTTACTCTGTTAAGTTATAACTTGCCAGGGAAACACTGACACCTAGAGATGAAAGGTTGACAGCACAGAACAGTGGCTTACAGTATGGGGTTTTACATTGTCAGTCCTTTTAAAACTCTTTAGGAGTTTGACCAGGGAAATCAGGTTTTTGTTGAATTGCCCACAACGTGTGACAACAGGTCCAGAGATAATGCATCAGGGTCACAAGCCATAAAGGCTGGGAAACACCACTGATCCTAAGAAAATACACCCCTTCCTCTTCCAGTCATATTTAAACCACCAAGAAAGACACACTTCTGCTTTTTGTGTGTATTTATGACAAGAATTTACCCAGATATGTTATTTTAATGTATAATTGTTTTATGAATACAAGTCCACAAATATTTCTTTCAAATTTTATTTCATGTTAATACCATAAATATACAAAACTCAAACAATTTCACATGCGACAAAGGCCAGACAAGAGTGCATTATGTTTTCTTTTTACATGTGACTGATGATGGGGATCAAATTTTCAACTTTACAAAATATACAAGTGTCCCTTTTAAAAGAGTTTCTTCTCAGATTCAGTGAAATAACATGGTCACAGGTCAAAAACAGTTTTGTGTCAGCAAGCTTTAAATACTGCTCTGTTCTGCAGACCAGCTCACTAAAGACATCAAGAAATGACCCACTGTGACATGGCTTCATATTAAAACTATAGATACATGAGAGTCGTGGGTGTTTGTAGCAAAGAAACGTTACATAATAAAGAAAAACATGGCAAGGGAACACATCACAAACCAGGAGTTAAAAACAAATCTATATGGACATTTGGTAGATTTCTCACAGCTTTTCAGGATATAGAATAAGACTTGAGGGAGATTTTTCTTTCTCATACCAATCATACACATCCTCATCCACACAAACACGCCTGTTGAACGGTCAAGCTGCAAAGTCATCGAACACTTTTTTTAAACTGGCTGATCCTATGATCATGTTATTATGAAACCACACAAACAAAATGCATAATGTAAAATCAAAAGAAAAACTGAAGTGAAAACAAATGATGCCACAAATAAAGTTTCTTTTGCGCAAGGTTCACCATAAAACAAGAAATGTGCAATGCATTTAAAGCAAAGTACTTCCAAAAGAAAGAAGCTAATTATTTCAAGACAATTTATTAATTTTCATCTGGAAAACACTCGCAGGAATATTCTGTCCACTATAAAGTTCAGCCCATTCATTTCTAAAAACAGCAGTACCAGTTATTAGTCATCTATAATGCATCGTCAGACACTCACCACCACTCTGAGTGATACTAAAGCACAAGTCAGATGCAACCCACTCCATGGTTCACTTCAGTGACAGTAGTCTGTACAACTTAGTGTGGAATAATACTGTTATTATTGTTTATAAATTAATCTATCTTAGTATGAGTGAACGTGGATCAAACCCAACGCTCTCTTTTTTAAGACATAGACCAGTGGGCTGCAAACCGACTGTCTATATAGTGTACACATACACAGTATTAGTGTTCTACTATGTTCTGTTAGGTTGTTGGCCCTGCAGGTTAATCTGATGAAAAATCATATTTTATCACAGTCTTTTGTGGGAAAAGGTGGGTCACTTCGCTCACTTCTCCAATGCAAGTTACATGATCTTTTCAACAGGAAACATGACAGAAGGCCACAAACAAGCGACTCTCAGGTTCACAGCAGCGTTTGTTTTGAACCAAATGTGAAGGGCAACAAAAAGGAGGGGGAACCTCAGAGTAGTCTGGTAATACCATACATACATAAAACTAAATCACATTATTTCTCAAGTTTGCTCCTCTTTTAGGGCACCAGGCCACCAAAACATCTGGCTGAATTACTCTCAGGCTTGTGGTGAGACCCGTGACCCCGTTCGGGACTAAGCAGTATAGAACATGAGATGAGTTTGTGGTGAGAACTGGAGATCTAGTGACCTGGGTGTTCAGTGTATGTTCATAAACAGATCCCAACAGCCACTGGGACATGAAATACTATTACAGCTCACTTTCCATAGAAACCAGGAGAAAATGAGACAGCAGGCATCCTGTGAATCAACTAACCATGTAGCTATAGCGAAGGCTAAGAGTGGACATCGCCATGCTGTCAAATCTTAGTGAGCCACAGAGATGCCAACATAGCCCACTCTGCCTATCAAAGTAGCACACAGAGAGGGGTTAACTGTTCAACTGATCCAGGTGCCGGGTCCATAAATAAAAGCATACAGATGTATTTCAATTTAAATGAGTTAGGTTTTACAGTAATGAGACTGGTATTTGTCTCAGAGCATGAGTTACTGTTCAGATCACAATGATCGAGCACTGAATTATAAGTAAAAATAAGTCAGAGCCACAACTTTTTTTTAAAGTCAAGTACACATTCGCAGACAGGCCCAGCCATTCAAACAAAAACTGTACTGTTTTGGTACTAACTAAACAGAACTATGTGCAAAACACACTGATCAGATCATCACTTCTCATGACTCTATACTGTATTAACCGGACAGGAAGCTGTTTGGCTGTCATCGCCATAACAAAATACGGTATGCTAGAACTGCGACCCGTGCGTGACCTAGGATCACCTCAAGAGGACAGAAAAACAGGAAAAGTGAAGAACTAAGAGAGTGTGAGATGAAATCCCACACATTCAGAGCACACCTTGAAATACTCAGTGGATATTTCAAGCGATGTGAGCAGTCAGTCACCTGACTGAGAAGTGGATAGAGTGGATGTGGGTGGTTTTATTGATATATGACTTTACGTGAAGATGGACAACTCTGGTCAGTGGTCTGGTATTTTCTTTACACTTCTTAAGCAAAGTGTGCAGGGCAATCTCGGCATTGCAAAATTCATATATTAAATCAGTCTGATCTGTGTGCCAGCTGGGCCAGAGTTGTGCATCACCATCTTTTCAATGTTTGTATGTGTATGTATGTATATGTGTGTTAGTTTATGGATGAGCTTTGAAGGCCCCACGAGCAGCATTGGATGCAGCATTAGCTGCAGCGTTGGCAGCTGCAGTCTGAACAGTCTTGTTAGACATGACGCCAGTTGCAAACTCCTGCTGAGCCTTCTCAAAACTAGCACCAGTGGTACGATAGAGCGCGTGCACCTGGAAAGTGGAAAAGAAAATGAGCTGGAATGCAAGTATGTGATTTAAAACTAGCCTTTGGCACAGCACTGCACTAAACAGCTGGTAATGTTTCACTTCCTGTCCAGTCACAACACTGACATCAAGCTCAACATTAGTAGTGAATAAACATGGCACAGTGTCTTCTTTATTCTTGACACCTTGCTCGTGCCTACTTGGACTCACATTTGCCTCCAGAACAGCCAAACACCCAGAGACAAAAATGAACTGAGACAATGATGGAGCTAACTAAATTACCTGTCACTCCAGTCACTTTCAGCTTGTTAGAGTACATCTTCCCCCCTCTGATATTTAAACAATATAAACATCTATTGATAGTGTTCAAACACTTTGCATCATTCACCAGTTTTTACCATTGTCGTTTGATTTCTCTATTAAACAGCAGCTGGTGCTGACATGTTGGAGTATTCTGTGATCGTGTTACCTTTTTAAACATAATGAGCGAGCCGACAGACAGCGCTGTGAACAGCGCTGCGATCAGTAACATGATAATGCCCACTGGGATACTGGTGTTCAGTCCAGTTAAAGCTGCGATCCAACCGCTGGCAAAACAAGACAACGACAATGTGAGTGAAATTCAGTACACACTCATAAAGGTACAGCATGAGTAAAAGCACAAAATACTCACCACGTTCCCCAGCCAGTGATGCCAATAGTTTGTAGAACGTGAACTCCAAACTGACAGATATAGACGAAGAAGAAGACAAAGAAGCGGAACGAACTGTCGCTCCTGTTGAGTAGTCAGAGACCACGGTAGAAAGAGAGAGCATCTTCTACCATCCCAAATTAGAGCATTGTCAAAGTAAACCGCCTGCCTCTTTACTAGTTTCATACTAGAGCAATTATTCTTTTTTTGCCTAATCAGCACATAATAATCATTCACAGAGGTATGTTTGTGCTTTGTTTTACTGCTGCAGACGGCGGTGTAAATGCCCATGTGTCTGCTCACCTGAACGCCCCATAAAGTGGTCTGTACCAGCAGACGAAAGAACAAGGTGTAAAAAGCAGGAACCATAACATGGCCAGGCCAAAGTCTACACCACGAGTTGCATCCACACAGAACCAGGCCAGGCAGCCAAACATGTTCACAAAAAGTGTGCCTGCATGAACTGGTAGGAAAAACAAAACAGTGAAGATGTTTAGTGTCATTAGAGCACAAAAAAGACAGTGAAATGTAATTTGTATTAGGCAAAACTAATAAAATACCTTTGTATTTTGATGCTGTGATAAATGAGCAAATTAAATGAGCAAATACATTTTTGATGATTGTGCAGGGAGATACACTGCAGAGCAAGTAGCAACATACTGGCATGGGTTCATCTGGACAGGGTGTGAGAAAACTAAAATATCAGTGATAATATTCCCTGCCCATTATGGGGTTTGTCAGATGATCTACTTACACATCCAAAGGTTGTACATGATCTTGACCGTCTTCTGGAACTCTACGGGAATGTCCACTGCGATGTCATGGTAGAAACATGGGCCAACGGGAAACTTCTCTGGCAGCGGAGGCCAGTTGTTTTTACGCCCTGTGTGAACAAAGGCAGCAGTGATGATTAGCCATGTAGTGTTTTTGCCCTACATTAATTTACTATAAAGCACACTAATATCGCATATGTGTGCAAGAATCAGAACTAAAGAATTAAGTACAGTACACTGCCCAAAAATGTTTATTCTAGCTTTTCTGGTCTAAAACTAAAGCACTGTGATCACTACACACACCCTAAAAGAAGTACATGGGAGTAAGGTATAATGGGTGTCAGTAAACTAAGAAGTGTTTGTGACTGACTGACATGAGAAAGAACTTGATGCTAATGTGTTCTCTTGTACTCTGCAGTTTAGACTCCAGACTTGCTGTCATGGATCTTGCGTCGATCGGTAATGCCCACTCAGACTGAGCGAGTGATTGAGCGAGGTGGGTGGCTGATGGACTGACTGACCTCCTGCAGCTCCATGGGACTGTAACTCTCTCTCCCGACGATCGAGCTCTGCTGCTTTCTTCTCCAGCTCCTCCTGCCTTCTCAGCAACTCAGCTTGAGCACGTGCTTGGTCCTAACACAGACACAGAAATACTCTTAAAATGTACTAACCAACATATGACAGGAGTTACGATGGCCGATAAGTAATTAAGGTATTTTCCCACTCAGGTAAGCTTGTGTGTTTTACTTTGAGAAGGGAAGAAAGTGGTTACATCTGGAGAAGCAATCAGCTACTGCTCTTCACTCACTTGTCTTCAGTTAGTGCTAAACCAGCTTTACAATTGTACTGCAAGAGGAAAGTTACAGATGGGGAAAAGGCATAAAGTGAATTCACACTACTCAAGGCAATCACATGAAAGGGTACAGGAAATATCAGATGAAAGAAATTATCTCAGTACGCTGCTGTTGGGCCATCAGAGAACAGATGGGTATATGAAGCGCAAGAGGAACAGTGAACCAGAAGCAAAGACAGAGTCTGTATAGTTTTATAGTGTTGTGAATCTAAATTCTGAGGGCATGTCATTAGCCTGTCCTGGCCAAATAAACTTTAAAGGAAAACTAAATATAATTCAGTGTATATGAACATGTTTCTGTGTGTAGTACCTGAGTCTGTTGCTTTGAGTAAGCCGGCGGCTCTTCTGTGGGCTTCATGATGGCAGGCTGTGTGTTCTGGGAAGGGGCCGGAGTAGATTTGGGGGCATTTCCAGGGGCTGCCTGCAATCCAGCATAGATGAGTTATGTTATCATTTGTACACTTTAAAGACAGCCCCTGAATCAAAACTGAAATTAAAGCATAATCACATTTTGTCAGTGAAATCCTCTGTGCATGAGTGGAGGTGGACGAAGAGATAAAAAGGATAGTGGATAAAATTAAGTCACTGAGCATTCAACTACATGCATGCACACACTCATCAATAGTGATGCTAGTTGAACTGACCGTTCTGGCGTCTGTGAAGGGGTTGTACTCCTCCAGACCACCAGGAGGGGCAGACCGGGTCACCTGTGTCACAGAAGGATCCTGAGGGACAGAGGGGGTAAAAACTACAACTGAAAAATCAAAAACTTATTTATTGTTATTCTAAACCTAGAATTTGTATGATCTTCACAGTTATTGTTGCTTCAACAACAGAGAGCAGGACGTGCATGCAACACAAAAGGAATGTTACTATATTCTATATGAAGTGACCTTTCCTGATCTTGTGACCATTTCAAACACCATGAATGGGATCAGGTGTAGAAGAAAGTTAATAGGGCCAATAAAAACTCCACCCACTGACCAGCACACCATCGGGTGGAGGGGAGAGACTCAACAGTTGAATCACCTGCTGAGGTGAAAACTAGCACACTGTTGGCAACCCCAGGTAAGACCGTTTGGAAAGGAGAATACATTCTAATGTACCTCACAGATGACAGGAACAGACAAGTGTAGCACAAATATACAGCTTGTTGCAGGCAGCTGGTCTATAATGAAAAAGAAGCTAAATGTAAACAGTCTTAACCAGCAGAATTCTGGACGTTTGACCACATGTGGTAGTAAATAGTCTTCTGTGTCGCTCCACAATAGGCTCAGGCAATGTGTGTATTAGTGTCAATATTCTCTGCGACGTGCGTAGTGTATTAAATTAATGCTAATGTGCCGTATGTGTGATGGGTCACTGCTGTGACAATATGCACATGTAATAAGACGTGTAGTCTCTTGAGCCTGTGGCTTAGCGAAATTTTGAAGTAACTGTAGGTACACAATACACGCTGACCACCCGGTAAAACGTTACAACAAGCAAGTAGGGGCCAGCAAATGTTTGCTGGCAGCGGGCAGAGCTACCTAGCTAGCTAGCTAGCATCATGTGTCTTTGTTTTTAGTTGGTATAAAACAAACGGCCTCGGAAGAAGCGGGCTAGATTATCCTTCGTAGCATCCTTTGCTAAATTACCAGTCTTGTATTGTGTGAGTGATAACATGCACAATGTGAATGATGACTAGCTCATTTGGCACCTAGCCGTATATCAAGCAAAACCTCTAACTAGCTGTGCAGCTATTAGCTATGACAGTTAGCAGCTAAGTAAGACTGGCCTGACTGAGCTTCCAAGCTGAGGTTAGCTGGCTAGCTAACCAAGTTAGCTACCTGAAAGGGATTGCTGAAGTCTGGGTCTGCGAACGGATTGCTGTCAAAATCGGACATTGTATAGCTTTTCTATTAATAATTTTGCGTAAGGAAATGCTCCCCGATTCTTGAGGGAAGGGTCAGTCCCTTGATCTGACTGCCTATCTCTGCTGCCTGCAGTCTTCTCCGCCTCCTCCCGATAGAGACCCCTTGCTTAGCAAGCTAGCCAGTAGCCTAAAAATGGCAGGAAAGGCCTCTACGTCACTGTTTCAGCACCGCGGACAGCATGATGTCAGGACAGGTAAGTTATTATACATCCGAGCACCGATACACTGTGATGCCATAAGAGACCTCTGGTCTACTTTGTATCTCACATATAAGTCATCACTTTTATAAGTCATGTCATTTTCATTCAGACATGACCATCAGATATATTAGGGATCTGTGTGCCTGGAGCTTATTGTCCCCCACCTCCCATCTTCCATTTTTTGTGCACTGTGGATATACCCATCTTATATGTGCATGGCAGCTTCAGTGGACACAATCAATCATTAGACAACCATTATGCTGAAACGTTACTCCCTGACCTTGTGTTTTCTTATAAACTTTATCAGTTTCTAAATGTATAACTAATAAAAACAATCAGTTTAATTTGATATTATGCTGATGGTGCAAATTATAACAAGTATACTATTACAGAAATTGCCAAAAACTAGCTGACAGTCAACCTCAGCGGCTCAGGGATGTGCTGGCGATCCCTTTACCCAGTTGATAATACAGTCTTGATTTGAGAAAGCTTGCAGTTTTTTTTTTTTTCCCCCCCACAAGCCAAGTCTTCCAAGATGTCATTTCCTCAAATTCCCTTCAGTCCTGTTGGCAGAGTGAGTTACTCAAGTACTGCATCTATGTCCTAACCTTACTATCTAAGGTATTGGTACTATACTTAAGTATGTCCTTTTGTAATCTGCTGTAGTGTATATAGTAGTTGAATATACTCTTACTGCTTACTCTTGTCATTTCTATCTTTGTTTCTCAGACACACCTTAAAAAAACTGAAAGATAACAATTTTAATTCACCGTAGACTGGTGAGAATTTTTACAAATGAGAACTTTACCAGCCCAAAACGCAACCAAAATGAAAAGCAAACTTCACCCACCTGAGGTGACTAAAATAAAACATCCATCCATCCATTTTCTTCCGCTTATCCGGGACCGGGTTGCGGGGGCAGCAGTCTAAGCAAAGATGCCCAGACTTCCCTCTCTCCAGACACTTCCTCCAGCTCCTCAAAATAAAACAAAAAATCTGAAATTATTTTCCAAGATCTTACTTTTCCATCAATTCCTGTACATAAACTCTATGCATGCTACACAACATTTGAGCTCTTGTAGGTCAAATGCAGCAGCAATCTCCTCCATTTGATGATTATGATGATTATGTTCAGTGATAATGATGATGGGGATGATGATATATGGAAGTGTCTGCTCACTTGGTTGCTTATGCGTGTGAGAAAGAGCTGGAGAGGCGAACCCGGTCTGCTTATTTCATGATATGTAACAGTGACCTCTCTCTCGGCAGCAGTCCCAGACAATTTACTGGAAATCACTTTATTTCACTTGCCCCTGTAAGAAGTATCAGACCCTCTGAGAGCTTTTGTGGTATGTGTGCTTTTTGTCATTGGCTTTGAGACTGTTAGTTGCCAGAAATGCCCACTTGGGGGAGCTATGATCCAGTAGGTCTCCCTTACTGTTTTGCAGAATCCTTTCTCATTTGCCATCAATTTATTTTCATTCAAATGAAGGGTGACCATGTGAAGAGCATCAGATCAGTTGACAGCCTGTAAATGTGATTTAAACATTTAAGCACCATTTACCCAGATTAAGTTTCAATTGAAGAACAAATGCTATTAGGTGGAAATCTTACAATATGTGGTAAATGATGGAGTTTAAGATATTACCTTTTACGGTTTGAATCCTATTGCTCGTATTTAAACAAAGGCACCATGCTACTTTGGGTTTGTTGCAGCCTAACAACCAATAACTTTAATTTTAAACCCATTTGCTTCTGTTAATAAGTAATTGCACACCTTTATACACAGCTTTATACACAGTTCCTTCTGGTTTATGTACTGTACCTGTATACTGAGGCTAAACAAACTCTGTATTCATTACAATTCAACTCTTGTCCACAAACTCATGCACGTAGGCCCACAAACGCACACTCACCATATACACACATACAAAATGAGCATCGGTTCCTTCCCTAATTTCGTATTAATGGACCCAATCACAGACTCTATGAATAATCAATGGCTAGTGGTCTGCAACCGCAGTGCTGAGACCTTGAGTGAAACTGAATTTTCCTAATAAGACAGACACACATACACTCACACACCTTGAGGCCCTAATAAGCACTAATACTCTGTGGGTTGAGAAAGCGTCACATGGTTTGTTTGCTGCAGAATGTGAAAGATAAACATTCTATGCCAGGCTGTGCGATGTGTGTGTCTATATGTATTGTGTACATGTGTGAAAACAAGGAGCTGTCTGCCCTTGTCCACTCTCTCTCTTCTGACGCACTAATGCTGCTTTGCGCAGACGACTGTGTGGAAACAACTGCTTTGGCTAATAGCTGCTACATTAGTCTCTTAACCAGCTGGTCATGGCCATTTAGAAATGTTCATTAGGTCGTGGAGCAGAGTGGATAGGTGCGATAGTTCACTCCTCATTGTTGACTGTAGAAAGACAGAAAAGAGACACAGAGAGAGAGAGAGAGGGGCACATAGACAGAGTGAGAGAGAGAGAGGCAATTTACTGGGCAACATGACGACCGAGTGTTAAAAGCTGCAGATGCCATTATCATCATATTGCCCTGAATAAGAACCTTGTGCATAATTAGATCTCATTAAGGTCTATGAGTGTTATTTTAGGGCTCTGAAAGGTTGGATAAGCAGGAATTGATATTATGGGTTATTAATGCTGCAACATCTGGTGCCATTCTGGCGATCGTATGACAGTCATCTGAATGGGCTGGAAAATTCAGTAGTCAACTGATATTAGAATCATATAGTAAAAAAAAAAAGTTATTCTTTCATAAATATTGGGATGCATGTATAGATATGTGGTAATATGTAGTTTTATTTATGGTGTACATATGCATGTGAATTTGTTTGTGCTGATGACCAGTCAGAGCACATTACACACCGCTGAGAGAAAGAATCCTCTGTCGTCGGAAAAGCGATTGATTCTCCATTTCCATATTAATGAGCAGATTTGTTTAAGAGCCTGCAGGAGAGGGAGAAAATAACAGGGTCTTCATAGGGCACGACATTTATAAATAAAGCTGATGCAGAGAAAAATGGAAATTAAACCTTTTAGCTTAATAAATCTGAGGCGTCCGCAGCAAAGCGAGTGATTTGCATTTCCATTTGTGGCCAAATAATGAGAATGTGGGACCATGATGAGCCTGCTAGTGCTGCTTTTGGGTCTTAAACAGTTGAGACAATCACTCCAGCGTGCAGCCCTCCACATCAGTGTCATTAGCTCAGGCCTGTTAACTCTGCTTCTTGACTTTCGAAGATTATTTGGTGAACTAGAGATTCTTTTTGTCACTTTGAAAGTAAAATGTATTCACTTCTGTAATTCTTGTGTATCTTGACCTAGATGTCTTTTTTCCCTTGAATATTCAGCATCCTCTATACATGCAGGTGTCACTTTAAAATGGTCTTTTATTGTTCCAAAACAAACCTGTCAGAGAGTCTGTCTTTTGCTCTGCCTCTTTCATAAACACTTAGACACAGACAACACACAGCTCTCTGAAACACACACACACACGGCATCACTGATTGAATTTATTGGGGAATGGATGTTGACTAGACCACTCCAAGTAGGCTAGATTGTTGTTGTTCCCAGATTGACAGACAGACCCACAGCGGCTGATTGAAAGTGCCTTTTAGCTTGCTCTCACTGTATATTTGATTTGGCAAAATGGAGGGGGAGTCCAGTCTTTTCCCAGGATGCAAACACAGATCCCTGTGTTTGTGTTGGAGTATGTGTGTTTGGGTACTTGTGTGTGCGCCATGCTTACATTTACCAGTAGATGCTTTAGTGATGCTGCATAAAATGCACCCCTTTCAGGTATTAATTGAATAATGCACGCACTCCTCTTGTCAGCCTTCAAGTGGGCCTCTTTCTCAGTGGCCTGTGCTGCTCTCTTTGCCTGTGAATTGACTAGATTTATCTGTGTTGTTCCAGCCAATGGATGCCATTTGTTCCAAATGTTTGACATAAACATGCAAAGAGCAGAGGCGTGCACTCATAAAATAAGCTTCTAGACTCTTGTTTTACAGCCCAAAGGGACCGATGGGGGTCCTCTCAGCCTGTCAAATTATGTGGAGCTCTTGCTGAGCCAACGGTGTGTTAAAGTTCTTTTTCAAGCAGTGATGTGATGGGAAGGAACAATTGCCACCATAAAGAAAGAGAGAGGAGAGAAAAAGAAAGAACATGGAGGAGAAGAGAGCAGTTGGAGGAGAGATGTGCGGTGAGAAATGCATACCTCTTTTCCATGCCTTTAATGGGACACATCTCATTGGGTGCCTTATGTCTGCTTCCAAACTGTAAAAGATATTTGGCTTTATACCTGCAGGAAATTCCCCACAATAAAGACAATATTGGCATATGGAGTCTTTGCTGAATCTGCTCTTTACTTTCTAACGCTGTTAACACGACCATGGTATTAATGTAGCTTGTAAAGAATAGAGCTGGTTACACTCGAAGTTACATTTAACTTGTATCTTTAAATGGCAGCGATTTGAAATTGAGATGAATCAGGATATTTTATGAGTAGATAGTTTAGTTTTGTAGAAATTCCTCTCAGATGCTGTCTATATCACATGTATGGATTTGACTCAGGTGTGTGTGTGTCTCATTGTGTACACTTGGGTTCGATTTGCTGATTTAGCACCTCTCTAATTTTCCACAGGGTAATATTTGCCTTACCTACTGCCATTTGTTTTTATTATGCGGGTGAATATGTTTGTCTAAGGATATCAATAATCATAAACAAAGCCGTGACGCTTTCACCTCTCTCTAACACTCTTGATACCTGTCTGTCTGTCTCTCACACAAGGCTGCTGGCAGCTCACGCTTTGATCGCACACAGTCTCCATATTTCAATATGTAATTGGTGAAAAGCAAACATTATCAAACCAGCTTTCTGTCAACCTACCTGCGCACATACAGTACAT